GATGAACTTAAACATACAAGCGACATTGATGACGTCGACAATAATATAAATGAATTAAATGCTGATGTTTATGCTAAAGTTGACACAACAGATTCCCAATCTGAGGATAACGTGCATATAAATTGCGAGGATGACGAGTATACGAATTGCGACGATTACGAAGATGACGTCAGTACAAATTGCGAGAATGACGCGAATTCAAATATGAATGCTGACAGTGAAAATGAGAATCTTGACATTGAATCGACTAATGATAGTGATGAACATACTGATAATGATGTCAGTTTAAATGGAGAAGTCGGTGATGATGATGGCGGTGATAGCTTTAGTAATGATGACGTAAACAGTAATGATGATGACTTCATTTTGATAAGTGACAATGAAACTAACATAGATGAAAGTGCGCTTGAAACTACACACGACATAAGACGAATAACTTTGTACCATTGTTTGACATGGAGAACAGTGTATACTTACAGAGGGAATGATATAATACATGAAGAAGAATATGTTACTGGTGATCGATGGATAAAATGAACTAAGTTTAAAGGATATTCAAAAAGAATATGAACAATGAACTGCATATAACTATATTAACTTGTTTGTATATATGTGGGTATTAATAATGGAATTGTTAAAAATAAATATATTTCATATGTAAAATGTATTAAATGTAAGTTTAAACTTTCACTAATTCTAAGAATTGAAAAATACAGAAAGTTTTAAATACTTCTAGTTATGTTTGTTATAATCATTTGTTAAGTTTATCTTCTTCGTCGGGAGTGTCGCAGATATTGCGATATACATGTATTTTAATATACTACTATTTTTATCAAGAAATATTTTCTTTGTAAGTTACATGATATATCACCGTGTCTTTAAAGTTTATTGTTAAGTTATCCGACGGTGAAGATATAGTAGCATTTTGCACGTATTTTATCAGCTACTTCAATGTTTTTCACGTGCATTTAGTAATTCTATTGTTTTAAGTTCCCCGACGATGAATTATTGTGCACGATATATTTATGTATTCATGTTTGCACGTGTTTTATCAGTCAGTTCAAGGTTTTTCACGTGCAACCTATTGTTTTAGTTCTCCGACGGTGAATTATTGTGCACGAGATATTTATGTTTTCATGTTTTACATGCTTTTCTTGCCATGCTTAATTATAAAGGCGGGAAAGTTTTGCTATATATATAGGGACATAAATATAGTTAATTGTGGGTGAAATAAAATAAGTTAGACTGATTTGTTAATAAAGGTTGTTAAATTAAATACTTGGATTATATTTGTGATTATTAAATGAAATTGTTTAAGTCAAAGTCAAATAATTGGATTATATTTGTGATGATTAAATAAAATAGTTTAATTGGATTAAAACGTGTTGTGTTATAAATTAAATTAATATTCAAGAAGGAAATGTGTTCTTTCTTCCAATGTCTTGGATTATAAAATACAATTAAAAGGAAATTCACGACAGTCTGCATATTCCTACCATGTTGTCTGACCTGCCTGCACATTCCTACCATGTTGTCTAACCAGCCTGCATATTCCTACCATGTTGTCTGCCCAGCCTGCACATTCATACCATGTTGTCTAAGCAGCCTGAAAATTCCTACCATGTTGTCTACCAAGCCTGCACATTCCTACTATGTTGTCTACCAAGCCTGCACATTCCTACCATATTGTCTGAAAAGCCTGCATATTCCTACTATGTTGTCTGACAAGCCTGCACATTCCTACCATGTTGTCTGACAAGCCATCAAATTCCTATCATGTTGTCTACCCAGCCTGCACATTCCTACTATGTTGTCTACGCAGCCTGCACATTCCTACCATGTTGTCTGACCAGCCTGCATATTCCTACTATATGTCTGACCAGCCTGCACATTCCTACCATGTTGTCTGACCAGCCTGCACATTCCTACTATGTTGTCTACCCAGCCTGCATATTCCTACCATGTTGTCTAACCAGCCTGCATATTCCTACTATGTTGTCTAACCAGCCTGAAAATTCCTACCATGTTGTCTACCCAGCCTGCATATTCCTACTATGTTGTCTACCCAGCCTGAAAATTCCTACCATGTTGTCTACCCATCCTGCAAATTCCTACCATGTTGTCTACCCAGCCTGCATATTCCTACCATGTTGTCTAATCAGCCTGCAGATTCCTACCATGTTGTCTTACCAGCATGTTTATTCCTACCATGTTGTCTACCCAGCCTGCACATTCCTAACATGTTGTCTACCCAGCCTGCACATTCCTACCATGTTGTCTAACCAGCTGCATATTCCTACCTTGTTGTCTAACCAGCCTGCACATTCCTATCATGTTGTCTACCCAGCCTGCACATTCCTACCATGTTGTCTAACCAGTCTGCATATTCCTACCATGTTGTCTAACCAGCCTGCATATTCCTACTATGTTGTCTGACCAGCCTGCATATTCCTATCATGGTGTCTAACCAGCCTGTATATTCCTACTATGTTGTCTACCCAGCCTGCATATTCCTACCATGTTGTCTGACCTGCCTGCACATTCCTATCATGTTGTCTAACAATCCTGCATATTCCTACTATGTTGTCTAACCAGCCTGCATATTCCTACCATGTTGTCTACCCAGTCTGCATATTCCTACCATGTTGTCTGACCTGCCTGCACATTCCTATCATGGTGTCTAACCAGCCTGTATATTCGTACTATGTTGTCTAACCAGCCTGCATATTCCTACTTTGTTGTCTACCCAGCCTGCATATTCCTACCATGTTGTCTACCCAGCCTGAACATACCTACTATGTTGTCTAACCAGCCTACATATTCCTACTATGTTGTCTAACCAGCCTGCATATTCCTACTATGTTGTCTTACCAGCCTGCATATTCCTTCCATGTTGTCTATCCAGCCTGCACATTCCTACTATGTTGTCTAACCAACCTGCATATTCCTACCATGTTGTCTAACCAGCCTGCATATTCCTACTATGTTGTCTAACCAGCCTGCATATTCCTACTATGTTGTCTAACCAGACTGCATATTCCTACCATGTTGTCCAACCAGCCTGCACATTCCTACCATGTTGTCTAACCAGCCTGCACATTCCTACCATGTTGCTGACGAGCCTTCATATTCCTACTATGTTATCTACCCAGCCTGCATATTCCTATCATGTTGTCTACCCAGCCTGCACATTCCTATCATGTTGTCTTACCAGCCTGCACATTCCTACCATGTTGTCTAACCAACCTGCACAATCCTACCATATTGTCTGACCAGCCTGAACATTCCTACCATATTGTCTTACCAGCCTGCACATTCCTACTATGTTGTCTGACCAGCCTGCACATTCCTACCATGTTGTCTAACTAGCCTGCATATTCCTACTTTGCTGTCTTACCAGCGTGCACATTCCTACAATGTTGTCTTCCCAGCCTGCATATTCCTATCATGTTGTCTAACCAGCGTACACATTCCTACTATGTTGTCTGACCGGCCTGCACATTCTTACCATGTTGTCTGCCCAGCCTGCACATTCCTACCATGTTGTCTAACCAGCCTACATATTCCTACTATGTTGTCTTACCAGCGTGCACATTCCTACCATGTTGTCTGACCAGTCTGCATATTCCTACCATGTTGTCTGCCCAACCTGCACATTCCTACCATGTTGTCTGACCTGTCTGCATATTCCTACCATGTTGACTACCCAGCCTGCACATTACTTCCATGTTGTCTGCCCAGCCTGCATATTCCTACCATGTTGTCTTACCAGTCTGCATATTCCTACCATGTTGTCTACCCAGCCTGCACAATCCTACCAACTTGTCTGACCAGCCTGCACATTCCTACCATGTTGTCTTACAAGCCTGCACATTCCTGCTATGTTGTGTGCCCAGCCTGCACATTCCTACCATGTTGTCTGACCAGCCTGCACATTCCTATAATGTTGTCTGACCAGCCTGCATATTCCTACCATGTTGTCTGACCAGCCTGCATATTCCTACCATGTTGTTTAACTAGCCTGCATATTCCTACTATGTTGTCTGACCAGCCTGCACATTCCTACCATGTTTGTCTAACCAGCCTGCATATTCCTACCATGTTGTTTACCTAGCCTGCATATTCCTACTATGTTGTCTAACCAGCCTGCACATTCCTACCATGTTGTCTAACCAGCCTGCATATTCCTACCATGTTGTCTAACCAGCCTGCATATTCCTACCATGTTGTCTGACCAGCCCTCCATTCCTACCATGTTTTTTTGACTAGCCTGCATATGCCTACTATGTTGTCTAACCAGCCTGCACATTCCTACCATGTTGTCTAACCAGCCTGCATATTCCTACCATGTTGTCTAACCAGCCTGCATATTCCTACTATGTTGTCTAACCAGCCTGCACATTCCTACCATGTTGTCTAACCAGCCTGCACATTCCTACCATGTTGTCTAACCAGCCTGCATATTCCTACTATGTTGTCTAACCAGCCTGCACATTCCTACCATGTTGTCTAACTAGCCTGCATATTCCTACTATGTTGTCTAACCAGCCTGCACATTCCTACCATGTTGTCTTACAAGCCTGCACATTCCTGCCATGTTGTGTGCCCAGACTGCACATTCCTACCATGTTGTCTGACCAGCCTGCACATTCCTATAATGTTGTCTGACCAGCCTGCATATTCTTACCATGTTGTCTGACCAGCCTGCATATTCCTACCATGTTGTTTAACTAGCCTGCATATTCCTACTATGTTGTCTAACCAGCCTGCACATTCCTACCATGTTGTCTAACCAGCCTGCATATTCCTACCATGTTGTTTAACTAGCCTGCATATTCTTACTATGTTGTCTAACCAGCCTGCATATTCCTACCATGTTGTCTGACCAGCCTGCACATTCCTACCATGTTGTCTACCCAGCCTGCACATTCCTACCATGTTGTTTACCCAGCCTGCACATTCCTACCATGCTTTTTAACCAGCCTGCACATTCCTACCATGTTGTCTAACCAGCCTGCAAATTCCTACCATGTTGTCTAACCAGCCTGCACATTCCTATCGTGTTGCCAGACAAATCTGCATATTCCTACCATGTTGTCTGTCCAGCCTGCACATTCCTACCATGTTGTCTACCCAGCCTGCACATTCCTACCATGCTTTTTAACCAGCCTGCACATTCCTACCATGTTGTCTAACCAGCCTGCAAATTCCTACCATGTTGTCTAACCAGCCTGCACATTCCTATCGTGTTGCCAGACAAATCTGCATATTCCTACCATGTTGTCTGACCAGCCTGCACATTCCTACCATGTTGTCTTACCAGGCTCTATACATTTGGCATATTAAACTTTAATCAACTTCATACTCCTGACATTTATGATTGTCAATTCCAAAATGGAATTAGTCCATTTAAGAAATTTGGTAGTTTAAGGCTTATATTTAGGTGTTTGTCTACAACTTTATATGATGTACATTATTTACATACTAATTACTAGAATTATTTATTTTTCAGATCCAGATTCTGGTTACTATGGTGATAGATGTCAGAATATGTACCATATTTGTGATGGAAATCCTTGTAAAAATGGTGGCACATGTATCCGTGGAGCTACTTACAAGGACTACACATGTTCATGCAGGACAAGTAAATATTTCAAATTGTGTGACACCCTGTACGAAATTTTACTCCTGTAATTTTGCCTAAAATACACCTGTTTTTCTGTTAAAAATTACAGCTGTATTTTTCTTCAGTTTTGATAAACATATAGCAAATTACACCTGTTTTTTTCAAAAATACAGCTGTTTTACACCTGTACTATGAACGAAATATGTAAATTAACCGTTTTTTTCTACGGGTCGAAAAATACAGTTGTACTGTTTTACAGCTGATTAAAATACAGGTGTAAAATTTTACAGGTCTAAAAATACAGGTGTAAAAAATTTTCAGCTCAAAAATACAGGTGTAAAATTTTACCGGTCAAAAATAAAATACAGGTGCCCTTATTGTTAAAGGGATGAAAACAACACATAAATGCAAACATATTTGGCACCTTTGGTGCAAATATCTTTTTCAATGGGATAAATACACTTTGGTCAGAAATTTTGTGCATTTGTTGCTACTCAATCTTTAAAAATAAGAACTGGTTGAGGAGAAAATATCTTTTTACAAGATTTAGGTACAAATAGCAGACATTATACAATCACAATGGTTCACAATGGCACCCTTTGACAATCACAATAGTTCACAATGGCACCCTATGCTAAGGTGAGCGGAAATATCACTGAACTAGAATCACTATCACTAAAGATGGGGATAAATATAACAAATTTTCACTTTGTCTTAAATGGATTACTATATTTTATTACATCCTGTTACACACTACTGATACTGCATCAATAAAATCCAAGTCATGAATAACACTGCAGGCATATCCTTTCATTTGAAGAAAAATTCACAAATGCTAATAAAGTTTTTTTTCTTGTAAATATTTATTGCCAGTATTTGCCAAATTAATGTCTACATAATATAGGTACTTGGAATAAAGCCTTTGTAAGTGTTTTCTCTTCTTAACTGGTCTCTGTCATTGTGATTTAAGATCCTGTTTAAAGCAGCTTCACCTGAATCAAATAAAACATCAATAGTTTATCATTAAATGAATACTAAATGATATTATCATGTAACTTTCAATGCTTGCATTTTGTACTAATGTCATCAATGCACATATTCAGTGCCTGACCAATTCATTTTTTTAGATACGTACCAATTAACTTCAACCTATATAATTATGTTTTGACAATTAATGAATACATGTATTAATTTTCCTACTTAATGCATTGCTTGATAAAAGATATTTACTGAGCTGTTTCTATTAGTGGTAAACTGGTAACTTAACTTTAATAATTAAGGTGCAACTTTTAAAGAGACTTATTTTGTTTAACCATGACTATTCTAATTAGTTCAACTACAATTTCGTTTTACCATATCTGTTTTAGTCCTTTGCTTTGTTTCATGTAGATCAACGTCTCTGGGGGGCGTACTGTGACCTTTAAGAACAAAATTCATAGTTCATTATAAAAGATATGAAAATGAATTATGACCTATTAATTAGAAGTTAAGTATAAATGTATTTAACATCATCTCTTCAAGACTGTATTCAAAAATATAAAGCAATTAACAGTCAATATTGTAGTATCTAATTAAATGCTATTGGTGACAAAATTTACATTTAAAAATTATTTTCCAACTGGGTAAATAGAATGTAAAATATTATTTTTTTCAGAATAAAGTTGATAAAAATAATTGCTAGCAGACCTGAAATAATACTTGTTTTTTGCATAAATGTATCCAAAGGTTATTACCTGATTTTTTTATGATTCTGGTTTTCATCTTCTTTTCCAAGGTTCAAATTTCATTTGCAACCAGCATATCCCATAATTCAGAATATTGTCATTTTCATTAACAAGGCTGTAGCCTTGATTTTTTTCTTTGAAAAGTTTAAGAATTTTCACCCAAACATTTTATACAAAATATTGCCTAGAAAATTGCTTATATCTCCACAATTTCTTAATTATCAATAAGATCCTTTGTGATACATGAGCACTATTTCCACAAATACCTCAGATTTCAAATTTTACAACTGTAGAACTGGACTGATTCATCATGCATAATGTTAAACAGGGATATTCCTTAAATCAAAGCACCCATCATTTTAATTTCACAATCATATAGACATATGAGAAAAAAAAAGTGTAATGTAGAATTTCAAATTCATAATAAGTTTTTAAAGATAACTTTGCAATTTCCTTCTAAACAGACTTCATTTAAAATCTATAAAGTTGTTTCCCCCCAGATTAAATCAAATGGAAGAGTCTGGACTGTAGCAGAATTTATGGTGGTTACCATTATCAGACTGGTCAGTGCAAGGTGTAAAATCAGTCAGTTGTGTAAAATCATTGTAGAGTAGTAGAGGCAGTGTTTATTTATTTATCCTACTTAACAGGTCATTTATATTACAAACTAGATTGAGAGAGCTTAATGTATGAGTTTATTTCATACACAATTAACTTTACAGAGTGAAGAATAACTCATAATGTCTGCAAATTTAGAGTCTTGAATAAGAACATGTACCAGTTTGTTGTTGTTATAGTTTTTGTTGTTGTTCTTTTTATACTTAAAAGAACAACAAGGACAGGCCTATGTGAACTATCTCATATATTTTAAAACTAAATAATCATATACAATGTACATGTATATTCAAATTTAGATAGCACTCTTAGTTCAAAGTTGCTTACATTATGAATGTTAAAAATTAAATCCTAAGTGTAAATAATGTGCATATATACAGTCTGTACAATTGCATCAAAGATATTAAAGTATTTAAATAAGAACAATTTCTCCAAAAGATTTTCTAAGTGTGTATTGTACATCTGTATTATTGAAAATACAGTTGTAGTTTTGGACTTAGATTATTTTCAGCACAAAATATCAGCTCAATATTTTCTAAGTATCAGAATTACATGTGTACATCTAAAACACAGGTCTTGTCTCAAAAATACACCTGTAAAATTGTTAAAATACACCTGTATTTCTTAGTCAAAATGTCAAATTCAGCAAACACAGGTCCCTAAGACTTGTATTTTTACAAAAACAGGTGTTCTTCAGTGGTCTTACAGTTGTAAAACAGGAGGTTTTTTTGTACGGGTCTTGCTATTTTTGATTCCCAATGTTTAGTGCCATTGTTAAAAATGTATTACAAGTAGACCTGTTTTGCTTAAATTTTGATATAAGTATAAATAATTGTACCTCAAAGTAATTGAAGCTGTAAGTCATTCCTGAGATTTTCTTTGAAATAACCAAAAACCAAAATCATTTTATTTCACATTTTTGAGATATCAATTCACCAAAAGTCAGGTAACTCAAAAATGGTATTGGTGACCCCATATATTTTTTTGGCTTATACCGTAAAATTCTTAATAAATGCCCCTCCCCTAATAAAGGCCCCCAGGTCTTTTGTTAAGAAAAACAATCTATTCATCAGTGCTGAACTCATGAGTAAATCCGTAATTTCATTCAAATCATTCAGAATCCATTTTATTTTATAGTATGAACTTAAAAATCTTAACACTTTTTCATGTTATTACCAACACTTGTTAACACTGAATGCATTTACAATGATTTTTGGATTTAGGAAAAACTGTGTTGTAATAATAGCCCCCCTTTTGGAAAATGTTTAGCCCTGGGGCGTTTAATAGGAATTTTACGGTAATTATTATTATCATAATAATTCTAAGATCATGCAAGGTTTCAATAAATGTTATTATGTAGTTGTTTATATGTAACATATACCTTTAATTATAAATCTTGAGTCGCTTATAGTTTGAATTATTATATTTGAGTAAAAATTAGCATCAATTGTTCTGATCTGATACTACACAAGGGCCACTAAAGCAAAAATAAAAAATAAGTTTTAAATGAAAACAACTGGCAGATTTTGATTGAACTTTATTTAAGGAATTGTTACATTCTTGTCATGTCTTTCAAGTGGGTTATTAATCAATATTATTATGATTTAATATATAATACAAGACTATTTTTCTAATGATTTAACATGTTACAAAAAAATTGTCTTAAAAAAATATTTGTATCATGTCTGTAGGTCTTTTTTTCTTTATCATTGAACATTTTCATTTTAGGATTAAACTTGATATTAATTTTGTTATGTGTTGTTTTAGCATATTAGTCACAAGTTTCAATAATGACACTAGTGTGAAGCCAACTGCTCAGATTTAATGTTAAAATTCTTAATGAACAAAAATAAGGACCCAAATAAACCTGGATAAGGCTTTATCAAAATAACAAAAACATATTATTTGTGATTATTATTACATGTATATGTTTATTTGGTTAATTTCTGATTTGGACACATGTATTATATGTTTATTTGTTTAATTTCAGATTTGGACACATGTGAAATGAAGGTATCTAATGAAGATAAAGTAGGTTCTCAAGCTTCACCTGCTCGATATCAACTTTTGACGAGAACTTTAGAACAGTGTAAGGCAAGCTGTTTATCAGATAGCCAGTGTAAAGAAGCCTCGTTTATTGCTAACCAGTTCTGTTTACTGTTTAATGACAATCTACAACCAGCTGATTTAATAGATGAAGATATCACAGCAGATGTCCACTTCAAAAAAGAATGTAACACAGGTAAAAAAATGTCATTATTGTATTTGGATTTAGCTCAATACAGGATTGGAGCAGTACCTCTAGACGCTTGCAGAAATCATGATCACAAAATAGACAAATATCGTTTTTTTCGCCGATTTTTATATTTTTCATTCATTATCGTACATAAATCGGTGTGAAAAGATGAATTAGACCTATTAAAGTTCATTCCGTTGGGTAAAAAGGCAAAATTTTAGCATTTTATGATTCAAGCGCCTTGCCCGGTATATACCGGAATACGTTATTTAGTGTGGTGCTCCAATCCTTTTTTCAGTCTCACTCATTGTATTTTATATCATCGTTGATAGCTGACCAATACTGTAATTGTACAAAAATCAACAATGTATAAAAATGATTAAAATGAATATTAAAAATATGTTACTTTTGGATTGTATTAAGTCTATGAAATATATTATAATCTGAGTTATAAGTTGTTGGTCTCTCAGACATTTCTGTTTTACAGTTAAGGAAAATGATCAAGGTGACAAATTTTGCTGATATATGATCTGAATGTTTGATTCACTAAGGCATCAAAGATTTTGATTCTTGATCATGCATATAAAACAATTTAGTACTGGTATATAACATGTATTTGAAAAATATTCAAGAAATCATTTGTTAGATCAAACATGTTCCAAATTTACTACCAGTTCCACAACTTACTATCAGTACTAAAATATTTCATACAAGAATACTGAGACTGTGTCAGAGTTACTACTGGTACTGAAATGTGTTTAAAGCAACAAAATACTTGTATATGTTAATAGCATAAGCACTGGTATGTTATCCTTTATGTTAGATGATTAGTGCTGGTATATGACCTTTATGTTAGCTGATTAGTGCTTGTATATGACCTATATGTTAGATGATTAGTGCTGGCATATGACCTATATGTTAGAGGATAAGTGCTGGTATATGACCTTTATGTTAGAGGATAAGTGCTGGTATATGACCTTTATGTTAGAGGATAAGTGCTGGTATATGACCTTTATGTTAGATGATAAGTGCTTGTATATAACCTTTATGTTAGATGACTAGTGTTGGTATATGACCTATATGTTAGATGATAATTGCTGGTAATTGACCTATATGTTAGATGATAAGTGCTGGTAATATGACCTTTATGTTAAAGGATAAGTGCTGGTATATGATCTTTATGTTAGAGGATTAGTGCTGGCATATGACCTTTATGTTAGAGGATAAGTGCTGATATAAGACCTTTATGTAAGATGACAGAACTGATATATGAGCTTTATGTTAGATGATTAGTGCTGGTATATGACCTTTATGTTAGAGGATAAGTGCTGGTATATGACCTTTATGTTAGATGATTAGTGCTGGTATATGACCTTTATGTTAGAGGATAAGTGCTGGTATATGACCTTTATGTTAGATGATTAGTGCTGGTATATGACCTTTATGTTAGATGATAAGTGCTGGTATATGACCTTTATGTTAAATGATTAGTGCTGGTATATGACCTTTATGTTAAATGATTAGTACTGGTATATGACCTTTATGTTAGATGATTAGTGCTGGTAAAAGACTTTTATGTTAAATGATTAGTGCTGGTATATGACCTTTATGTTAAATGATTAGTGCTGGTATATGACCTTTATGTTAAATGATTAGTACTGGTATATGACCTTTATGTTAGATGATTAGTGCTGGTATGTTATCCTTTATGTTAGATGATTAGTGCTGGTATATGACCTTTATGTTAAATGATTAGTACTGGTATGTTATCCTTTATGTTAAATGATTAGTGCTGGTATATGACCTATATGTTAGAGGATTAGTGCTGGCATATGACCTTTATGTTAGAGGATAAGTGCTGGTATATGACCTTTATGTTAGATGATTAGTGCTGGTATATGACCTTATGTTAAATGATTAGTGCTGGCATATGACCTTTATGTTAGATGATTAGTGCTGGTATATGACCTTTATGTTAGAGGATAAGTGCTGGTATATGACCTTTATGTTAGAGGATAAGTGCTGGCATATGACCTTTATGTTAGATGATTAGTGCTGGTATGTTATCCTTTATGTTAGATGATTAGTGCTGGTATATGACCTTTATGTTAAATGATTAGTACTGGTATGTTATCCTTTATGTTAAATGATTAGTGCTTGCATATGACCTTTATGTTAGATGATTAGTGCTGGTATATGACCTTTATGTTAGAGGATAAGTGCTGGTATATGACCTTTATGTTAGAGGATTAGTGCTGGTATATGACCTTTATGTTAGATGATTAGTGCTGGTATATGACCTTTATGTTAAATGATTAGTACTGGTATGTTATCCTTTATGTTAGATGATTAGTGCTGGTATATGACCTTTATGTTAGATGATTAGTGCTGGTATATGACCTTTATGTTAAATGATTAGTGCTGGTATATGACCTTTATGTTAATTGATTAGTGCTGGTATATGACCTTTATGTTAGAGGATTAGTACTGGTATGTTATCCTTTATGTTAGATGATTAGTGCTGGTATATGACCTTTATGTTAAATGATTAGTGCTGGTATGTTATCCTTTATGTTAAATGATTAGTGCTGGTATATGACCTTTATGTTAGATGATTAGTGCTGGTATATGACCTTTATGTTAAATGATTAGTACTGGTATGTTATCCTTTATGTTAGATGATTAGTGCTGGTATAAGACTATTATGTTAGATGATTAGTGCTAGTAAATGATCTTTATGTTAGTTAATTACTGCTGGAATATGACCTTTATTTTAGGTGATAAGTACTGCTATGTAATCCTATATGTAAGATGATTAGTGCTGGTAAGTTATCCTTTATGTTTGATAATTAGTACTGGTATATGACCTATATGTTACATGATTAGTGCTGGTATAAGACCTTTATGTTACATGATAAGTGCTGGTATATGACCTTATGTTAGATGGTTAGTGCTGTTATGTAATCCTATATGTTAGTATAAGACCTTTATGTTAGAGGATTAGTGCTGGTATATGACCTTTATGTTAAATGATTAGTACTGGTATATGACCTTTATGTTAGATGATTAGTGCTGGTATATGACCTTTATATTAGAGGATTAGTGCTGGTATATGACCTTTATGTTAGGGCTGGTATATGACCTTGAGGATTAGTGCTTGTATATGACCAATATGTTAGATGATTAGTGCTGTTACATTAAGCATGCATAAGTTCTTGTGCTAGAAACACTAGTGCTCTTCCAGGTTCTCAATCATTACTGTAAGAAAACAGTAGTACTGGTATAAAATTCTTTTGATAAAGGCATTAATTTATGCTGATGTAGAATCTGGTTGGTAACATATGCTTTGTTTCACAGTACTGAAATGCTGTACCATATCAACTGTATTTATATACTTACTAACATAAGTGTGATGTGATATAGTTACTAAACTGTATTTAATAAATGAGACTTGATTTGTTTATATTATCTGCAGCATATGGTGGTGTAAGATGTGAACAAGATACTAGGGATGACTGTGAGAACAATAATTGTAATGAGAACTCACAATGTAAAGATGATATCAATGGCTTTCAATGTATTTGTCCTGCAAATGGAGGATTTTCTGGAATAAGGTAAATCAGGCATACCTACAGTTTTGAATCTACATGATTCTGTTGTCCATTTCCTGACCTTGATCTGTTGTCTGTCTGTCTGTCTGTCCATCAACAATGATTTGTTCATCTTCAAGAACTGGTTTCATTTTATGTTTGATTTCAGGCAAACTTGAACACAACACTAGTAGATTTGGGTACATTTTTTAAACATATTGATACTGTCAAAATGAAAGAGGTGCTGTGACCCCTTAAAGAATAAAAAAAAGTTATTTTTGCCTGTCTGTGGCTGTTTTATTTTTGAATTGAATCAAAGTTAACTTTCTTACACATTTTTTTATCTGTAAATCTGGATTTCTGACTTAAAATTTCTTTATTCTATCCCGTATTACAGTGTTGTGACCCTGTGTTGGTTGTGACCCAATGTAGGGCCAAAATAAATATATTATAATGTATGAAATAAATACTTTTGAGACCTTATTTTGCAATAAGAATAATCAATAAATTGTACTATGAGGAATTCAAGTGTTTATCTAAAAATGTGTGATTACAAAATATGAGTGTGTAGTGAATGGCTGCGCCACTCGTGAAATAATTATACCTTTTGCTGTCACTCAGTAAAATTTATTCTGATCTTACACTGAACAAAACATTATATCCTCTATGTATCCCTGTAAATGATACAAAATATAATTGGTAGCGATAAATAATGAGTATTTACTGTTGTGACATAAGTATATTAATGATGACTGTAACTGTAAAACAGAATACCACTTATGTAAGTATGATATTCCAGTGTTCTATATTTTATGTTAACTGGTGGAAACATATAAACTCAATGATGTGATTAGTAAAAGATGGTCTCTACCAATGGTTTAGCTGAACATGAATCATGAACATATTTTTATGAGACAAATTTTGTTTTTCTTTGCTTTGTATGATTTGTCAAATTTATAGTAAATTTATCTTTATTAATTATTTGAAGATGTGATGTTGCAAACAGCCCATGCAATTCAAACCCATGTGTACATGGCACATGTACTCCCTTTGGATCTGTGAGATATGAATGTTCCTGCTTTGATGGTTATGATGGTGTAAACTGTGACAACAACATTAGTAAGTTATTGTAGTACATTAGACAATGAATTTAGCATAAGTATCTTTATGTATTTTTGTGTTTATTTATGATTTACTGACAATGTTGTATATAATTCACAACTTTCAAGTCACATTTCTTGCTTAAAATTATACTTATACTGACTTCCCACATTGTATGCTTAAAATTATACCTGTACCAGCTCCTTACATTTCATGCTTAAAATTATACCTATACCAGCTCCCCACATTTTATGTTAAAAGCTAAAAATACTTGGCTCCCCAACTTTCATGCTTGAAATTATACTTGTACCAGCTCCCTACATTTCATGCTTAAAATCATACCTATACTAACTCCCAACATATCATGCTTAAATTTATACCTATACCTGCTACCCACATTTCATGTTTGAAATTATACCTATACCGGCTCCCCACATTTCATGCTTAAAATTATACTTTTACTGACTCCCCACATTTCATGCTTAAAATTATACATGTACCAGCTCCCTACTTTTCATACTTAAAGTTATACCTATACAGGTTCCCCACATTTCATCCTTAAAATTATACCAATTCATACTCCCCACTTTCCATGCTTAAAATTATACCTGTACCTGCTCCCCACATTTTATGCCTAATATCATATCTATACTGATTGCTTAGAATCATACCTGAGTATACTGACTTACCACATTTTTATGCTTAAATACATTTCATACTTAAAATTATACCTTTAACAGCTCCCCACATTTTATGCTTAAATATATATCTATACCAGCTCCCCACATGTCATGCTTAAAATTAAGCATGCACAGGCACCTTGAATTTTGTATTTGAAATAAAGCAAAGAATGACTTTTTAGCTCACCTGTCACAAAGTGACAGGGTGAGCTTTTGTGATCGCTTTTCGTCCGGCGTCCGTCCGTCGTCCGTCCGTCGTCCGTCCGTAAACTTTTACTTTAAATGACATCTCCTCATAAACCACTAAGCCAATTTCATCCAAACTTCACAGGAACTTTCTTTTGGTGGTCACCTTTAAAAATTGTTCAAAGAATTTAATTCCATGTAGAACTCTGGTTGCCATGGCAACCGAAAGAAAAAACTTTAAATATCTTCTTTTAAAAAACCATAAGAGCTAGAGCTTAGATATTTGGCATGAAACATCTTCTAGTGAGTGTCTACCAAGTTTGTTCAAATAAAAGCCCTGGGGTCAAAATTGGCCCCGCCCCGGGGGGTCATTGATTTTCCCTATATGCATATAGTAAAAACTTAAAAAAAATCTTCTTTTAAAGAACCCAAAGAGTTAGAGCTAAGATATTTAGCATGAAACATTTTCTAATGGGTGTCTACCAAGTTTGTTCAAATAAAAGCCCTGGGGTCAAAATTGGCCCCGCCCCAGGGGGTCATTGATTTTCCCTATATGCATATAGTAAAAACTTAAAAAATCTTCTTTTAAAGAACCCAAAGAGCTAGAGCTCAGATATTTAGCATGAAACATGTTCTAATGGGTGTCTACCAAGTTTGTTCAAATAAAAGCCCTGGGGTCAAAATTGGCCCCGCCCCGGGGGGTCATTGATTTTCCCTATATGCATATAGTAAAAACTTACAAAATCTTCTTCGAAAGAACTCAAAGAGCAATGGCTAAGATATTGAGCATCAAACATGTTCTAATAGGTGTCTACCAAGTTTGTTCAAATAAAAGCCCTAGGGTCAAAATTGGCCCCGCCCCAGGGGGTCATTGATTTTCCCTATATGCATATAGTAAAAACTTAAAAAATCTTCTTTTAAAGAACCAAAAGAGTTAGAGCTAAGATATTTAGCATGAAACATGTTCTAATAAGTGTCTACCAAGTTTGTTCAAATAAAAGCCCTGGGGTCAAAATTGGCCCGCCCCGGGGGGTCATTGATTTTCCCTATATGCATATAGTAAAAACTTAAAAAAATTTCTTTTAAAGAACTCAAAGAGCTATGGCTAAGATATTTAGCATCAAACATGTTCTAATAGGTGTCTACCAAGTGTGTTCAAGTAAAAGCCCTGGGGTCAAAATTGGCATCGCCCCAGGGGTCATTGATTTTCCTTATATGTGTATAGCAAAAACTTAAAAAACCTCCTTGAAAAAACCCAAATAGCTAGAGTTAAGATATTAAGCATGAAACATCTTTTAGTGAGTGTCTACAAAGTTTGTTCAAATAAAAGACCTGGGGTCGAAATTGGCACCGCCCCGGGGGTCATTGATTTTCTTTATATGTGTATAGCAAAAACTTATAATCTTCTTTGAAAAAACCCAAATAGCTAGAGTTTAGATATTAAGCATGAAACATCTTCTAGTAAGTGTCTACAAAGTTTGTTCAAATAAAAGCCCTAGGGTCAAAACTGGCCTGGCCCCAGGGGTGTCATTGTTTTTAACTATATGTGTATAGTAAAAACTTAACTTAAAAAAAATCTTCTTTTAAAAAGCCCAATGAGCTAGAGCTTAGATGTTTAGCATGAAACATCTTCTTATGGGTGTCTACCAAGTTTGTGCAAATAAAAGCCCTTGGGTTAAATTGGCCCTGCAACGTTGGGGGGGGGGCTATATACAGGTGAGCGACCTCAGGGCCATCATGGCCCTCTTGTTTATATGTCTGCTTGGACATTGTACAATGTGACAAACATGGGTGATAACCGTTGTCTTACCTTATAGTTCATTCAGGGGCTTGTGCCTCCATTTTATTTTGTTATCTGTTGTGTAAATGAACCTTTTTTGTATGAAATAGTAAAATGAAAAGAAATATAAGATTTTAATGGCCATTTCATGCTTTAATAATATAAACATGATGCTATGAAAATTTGTATTTTTTTAGTAATTGCATTTGAACACTAGGCTTATTGATTGATCTGTCAGTTACAGACCATTTATCAAGTTTTTAGTTCCATGTTCTGTTATATTATGTTCTGGATGTCAGTCTGTCTCAAAAATCATTTGGTTTAACATTTCATGTTTTATGTTTCAGATGACTGTGCCAACAACCCTAATGCCTGTGCGTATGATGGAAAATGTGTTGATCAGGTCGATAGCTATAGATGTCTATGTAAGTCCGGCTTTGGAGGTACAAACTGTGAGAATACTCCAAACTTCTGTCTAAGCAATGACTGTAAGGGAGATAATGTATGTTATAGCAGCCTGGACAGAATGGAGGGAGTGTGTACATGTGACACAGCTCTGTTTGAAACTCGGTATAGATGTGAGATGGTTGTTACTGAAGGAGAAGCAGCTACAGCAGGAGAAATTGTTTCCAGTAGAAGTGTTAGTGACATAGAACAATGTAAAACAGCATGTCAGGACAATCGTGAATGTATTTATGCCATCTTTAACAATGCTCTTACTCCAAATTGCCAAATGTATGACAGCACCTATACAGGGGAACAGACGGAAGATTCTTCATTTGCAATTCGAAAAAATTGTAATAACAAACCAGGTGAGAAAATTAAATATATTGATTTTCATGTGAACATTTCAGCCATACATCAATACTTATGGTGCCCCTTCTTTAGTGGCGGGCATTTAGATTTACCCTTGTCCGTCCGTCCATCCATCCGTCAGTCCGTTCTCTTTTGTGTGGCATGTAACTCAAAAAGTATTTGACCTAGACTCATGAAACTTTACAGGAATGTTGATCAGCATGTGTAGTTATGCACCTGGGTATTTTCGTCTGGATATTTTTAGTATTTTTTGAGTTATTGCCCTTGACTTAGTAAAATTTTGCAATTTTCAATGGTTCAACCGCTGTGGGTTCGAATCCCGACAGGGACTTTTGATTCTTTCTTGTGAGGAAGCTATCAAGCTAGCTAACGGAACGTCAGTGGTTCTACTCAGGTGCCGTTCGTGCCTGAAATAATGCCCGGAAGGGCATCTGAGGTCTTCCTCCACCAGTAAAGCAAAAATGTCGCAAAATGACCTATACTGTGTCGGTTTGACGTAAAACCCAATAAAAAAACAAACAAACACAGTTAAATTCAATCTCCTACACAGTGATCTTCCCTTATCAGTACATCACAAACATTTTTATCAATATTTTGATATTTTATTTTTTTTTAAGTTTCTGAATTTATTTTTCATTATTTTGTACACTTTTGATATTTTTTGATAAAATATAACGAACTTAGTTACGAAAAGATAAACATAAATCAGACGTTACATTTTCTGCATAACTATCAATATTTACATTTGAATTTCGACGTAACGACATGTGACTTTCATCATCATTTGATGTCTGTGAAGGCAGTGATTACAATCGGCCAAGGGAGGTAATCACTGTCAGGAGTTTGAGCAATCGCAACTACTCGGCCCTTTCCTTCAGTCTTCAGATAAGGGCCTCGAACACAATAGTATGAATACACAGAATGGATGCAGTATTTCGGTCTAACCTAAGCTAAGAAACTAAACATGTAAACAAATAGTAATTTAATGCTGGGAGTTGTTGACAAGTTTATTTCAAGTATATGTTGTAAAAGTTCATCTGAAATAAGTGAATTCATGGATACAAAAGCAAACAATGCATTATTTATATAATTATTATTATGGTTGTAGAAACCGAAAGTAAAAAAAACCCAACCTAATGACAGTTAATCGGATTTATTTAAAATTGAACATCAGTCGGCATATTTAAATTACAAATTGTTGTCAGACATATTTTAAAGTATAAGAGTACCGGAACAGACATAAGATGTCAAATATATACATTCGTTTGACATTTTCTCTGTTTCTGTTTACATCTGAAACCACGTGGTAGAACTACTTTCAATCTGGTTATTATAGATAATAGCCGAGGCAGTTCCGAATGGAGTTTGAGTTAAAACTGTATGTACACAGTCTAACCTTTGTACTTCAAGAACACAATTAAATCTGTGTTGTGCAAAAAATACAGTTAAATCTGTGTTGTTCATGAGCATAATAAAATCTGTGTAATGTACACTAAGTCAAAATTTTGTTCTTACAGAAAACACTTACGTCTGTGTTGTTCATGTACACAGTTAAATATGTGTTGTCTATGTACACAGTTAATTCTGTGTTGTTCATGTTTTCTTATTCTGTGCACAGGTCAAACAACTGTTATTTATGTTTTCAGTCAAACTTTTATTCTTGTAAAGGAGGGATTTACAGATAAGGATTTTTCTAAAAATAGATTCACTGATAAGAAACACACATAGCATTAACAGTTGCTGGTCTTACAAACTTTTTGTCCGACCTGTTACCACTGATATAGAATTTATATTACTTTCAGTGCGGAGTCAATGAAAAATTATAAGTTTAAATTGATTTTTCCAGTGTTAGTGTATGAAATTTTAATTCCAGATCCAAAGTTTAAACATAAATGCTTTGGGTAGGGTATGTCCATTATTGAGTGATCATTATTTGTGACTTAAAAAATTGTTTTAAACTGTCAATAAAAGAACTCATATACTTTTCGATTTGGTTATTTTTAAGAATCTTTTTTGCCATAAAAGAAAGTACTAAAACTCACAATACGTAATAATAATTGCCTAATTATTCTTGTACAGGATTTTTTCCCCAGCAAAAAATATCCTTTTTGTAGACGAATGTCCGTCACAGGTTATTGATTATTGAATATAACTTTGAAACCTGTCTCACCTTTAATTATTATTTCTAGCATTTGATTTTAATCATTAATATTTATTTATAAAATTATTAAGTCAGAGCATTCAATTTTAATTAAGTTGACTTCTATAATAATTCCCTTTTGTACCAATATGAAAAATTCTGATTCAGAGGATATTTCATAATTTTTTAAATTGCTTGTAAAATTTACTTTTTTTACAAAGGAAATTTTACATTTCTTGGATTTAAAACCACATTTTTGATAAGAAAGAATTAATAATATACTTTGATTAAGAAATTTTGATCAAGAAGATTATCATGCTTTAATTTAAAATTTAAAAAAAAAATATTATGACGTAATAATACTTGGATCCAGAAAAAGAATTTAAATTTAAATTTTGAGGAAATTGAATAACATGTATATATTCAAAATACCTTAGTTAATTCAATCATCTGCTTCAAAAGTTTAATAATTTATTCTTTTATTTTTTATTTAGAGAGTTTATAACCTAACTCTACTTTATTTTTTATTCAGAGAATTAATTATCTACTTAGATTTAATTTTTGATCGTTATACTGGGATTTAAATTAATTTAAGTTTTGATTCAGAAGTTAGTCCTTATAGATGATACAGAAGATGTATTAACTTCAAATGGCATATTAGAATTTCAGTTATTTACTCAAATGTTATTTTTATTATAACAGTTCATTTTTCTTTCTTTTTAACTGACCCATATCTTAAAATTAATTCATCTTTAATAAAAACATTTTCTAAACATAACTGATAAATGACACCAAAAGTTATTTTTTCTTTTGGTAAACATTGAAAGTATGAGGCTACAAATGTATAAAAAGCTCACTTTTCCAAGAGTTCCTTTTTAATTCAAAATAAATTCTAACATCTATATTTCAGACACATATGATGTTCAAAATGAGAATGCTCTGTGATATGTGTTAGATCAAAATTTAGCATTAGGAGAATCGTCTTGTAAGAGTTTATAGTGTACATTCTATTATGTGTAACACACTGTTTGTACGACTTTCCTGATAATGTGTATCACGTGATACACATAACAGGTATTGATGACCTAGTGGTAAATCTCTCCTATACAGATAAACATCTGTTATTCATGTATATTGTCATTTTTCAAAACGCAAGAAGATAAGAAATTTAAACACTGAAATCATGACCCTTGTTTTATTTAGATACCCCCGCAATAATATGGGCACGCAGAAAGTGTTATCCTTTCTTTTTGAATTTATATGTTAATTGGTGTAAATTTGAAAAAGAATATGTTATGTTTCCTGTCCATAACTGCTGCATGTCTGATGACCACCATAAGTAACCAATGCAAAATTCATGTCTCTAACTCATAACTTTTGCATCTATGATGGGATTTAAAAATAAACTGGTTGACTTGATCATTATAAGAAGATGATGTGTTGCACCACAGGACCCCGAAATTCTATCCAAAACAGAAAAATAACGATTTAAAAAAATCCCCTATATATACTATAAAAAACATATATTTTTATTAAGATTTAGTTCCTTGGCTCAAGGGTTGACATCACTACAAGGGATTTAACTAAGAATTTTGTCATAAAGTCTTACATTATGCAGCTTGAGTTTGTGTCCTGGAGTTAATAACTTCTGCATACATTTAAAATGAATTGGCCATATGATCACCATAGGAAGATTATGCAGCTGTCAAGACTCATGTACACACATTTAAGGTCAATGTCGTACTAGGAGGTCAAAGTTGAAATCCTGTCAAGCTTATATTTTGGATTGTTGCAGTATGTGGCATATGTCTTCGTGAAAGTCAGAAACTTTGTCTGGCATAAGAAAAATCTTCAAAGTCAAGGTTGCACTTTTAGGTCAAAAGCAAGATCAAATTGCGTTTGCTATTTTTTCTTTTCTGATTGACTGTCAAAATATTTGTCTGGTGTCTTCATCAAGCTCAGAATGTAAAGTGTCATATGACTGGGGCCTCTATGTCCAATGGACAACTTTTTGGAGTACTTTTCTGTGCCAAATTTCTTACACATTTTCCATTCTATACTCCTGTATATATTTAAATATTGATATCAACAGATGTTGGATATGCTTGTGACCAGGTTAAAGTACCATGTGAACTTGTGGATTGTAATGAAGGAACTTGTCAAAATACTAATGGTAATCTTGACAGTGTATGTAGTTGTAAACCTGGTTACACTGGTTCTCTCTGTCAACACAGCATTGATGACTGTATAAATAATCAGTGCCAAAATGAGGCTGAATGCATAGATGGTGACCAGGCATACACATGCAAGTGTAAAGATGGCTTTGATGGTAAGATCTTTTTTATTATATTTATGGTATGAAATACAAAGATAGATTTCAGATCTACTTTTTTTGCATACAGTGGAGCCTATTTATTTTTTACATACAGTGGATCCTATTAATTTTTTTACATACAGTGGAACCTACTTATTTTTTATATACAGTGGAGCCTACTTTTTTGCATACCGTGGAGCCTACTTATGATTTAAAAATACAATTGTTCCTACTTATTTTTTACCTACAGTTGATCCTACTTATTTTTACGTACAGTGGATCCTACTTTTTTTTTTAAAAATACAATTGATCCTACTTATTTTTTTACCTACATTGGATCCTACTTATCTTTTTAAAATACAGTTGATCCTACTTATTTTTTACATACAGTGGATTTTTTAGGAGCTGGTGTTTAATCAGATTGATTTGTATAAAATATTTATAAAAAGTGATTATGAAACAGTTAAACCTATAACACGAAGGCATAAATCAATAAAAGAAAATGGAAAAAAAATGGTATGGTAATGAGTGCAAAAAAGCAAAAAAGAAATATAATAAATTTAGAAGAAAATATAGCAAACATCCCACTAAAGAAAATAGAATACTTTTAAATAATGCAAGTAAGAAATAAAAAAAGATTATGGATAAATATTATAAAAGTAACGAAATTAAATTGAGAGAAATACAAAGTAAAAATCCTAAAGAATACTGGAAATTTGAAATAAAGTTAAAACTGAAAAATCTATAGACATGCCAACAATAGATTCCATGTATGATTACTTTAAAGAGGCCAATAGTAATTTATATCATCATGATGATGTTAATGATAATAATATCACAAATAATATAGATATAACAAATGGACTCCTTTAAACTAGTGAAGAAATAAACAAATGTATCAAAACATTAAATTAAAGCACAGAATGCGCTGAATTTGTTTGGGTCTCAGAATGGTTGTGAGATTGTAAACAAATTTGTTTTTGTATAGTGCCACCAATGCTTACCGGTGTTTTAATTGTAGTAAATTGGCTATAAGACTAATTGCAACACTGATATTCAATTCAATGTTTATTTGACTTAAACAATTTGAAAAAAGACCTGCCTTAACTGGGATTTGAACTCAAGACCTCTTGCTTCCTAAGCGAGCGCGCAAACCCCTCGGCCACGGTAAGTTTTATCTTAACAGCCTGAAGAAAACCATATAATTCTAAATTAGGGGTTTGTAACCCTTATGATTTCGACGCTAACTGTTGTTTAACATAGATGTAAAAAATCATGGAGCTTACTATAAGCATGTATATATATAAAGAATAAAACAAAATTAGAAATCTTCAACCATTCGGGAATTTTGTTTGCTTGAAAATTAATGCGCCTGTTATTTGACCATCTTTACGCAGTGATCTCCCCTAAATTTTTCGGCGTTAGTGTACATATAAAGGGAAGTAACCCCTTAAAAAAAGCGGACTACTTTAGGCATTTGCAATTAACAGCATCAGGGTCTGAAATTTCGGTACCATTATTTGTTTGGTCTGACAACTAAAACAAATAAAAATGGTTAAGCGCCACGCATTAATGGTATCTTAAATGAATATATTAAATCATCATCTGAGAAACTTATATCACTATATGAGACTTTGTGCAATTTTGTTTTAGAAAACTGGTGTTATACCAACACAATGGTCCATTGGTACAATGTTACCAATATATAAAGCCGCCTCCGTGGTATAGAGGAGCACTCAATACTTAAAGAAAATCAAGCAGGCTTTCGCAGTCATTATTCCGCTGTACGTAGATGATTTGTTCACTTTAATTCAATTAAAGAGATTTTACGAAAATCTAAAAAGAAAATATTCTGTCTTTTCATAGATTTCTCTTAAGCGTTTGATTCTGTTTGGAGGGTTGGCATATGGGAAAAATGATGGACAATAATATAAATGGTAAATTGTTTAGAATACATAAAAATATGTATTCGAATATTAAGTCATGTGTCTATCAAAATTGTACATATTTTTCATTTTTCGAGTGCAACTGTGGAATTAGAGAAGGGGAAAATCATTCACCTGTACTTTTTGCATTATTCCTTAATGATCTAGAGCAATTTTTAGACTGTAAGGGTCGTTATTATATAATTTTTTACACAAATAACGATTTCGACGTGTTCTTGAAAATACTATTTTTACGTTATGCTGATGATACATTTTTAATATCTGAAGATCCTGTAAAATTACAAGAATGTCTTAATGATTTTGTACAGTATTGTTATGTTTTGAATTTAGATAATAATGTAAGTAAAACTAAAGTTCTTGTAATTGGGTCAAGGAATGATTATAATTTTAATTTTAAAATAAGTGATGAACCTTTAAGAAAGAGTTTTTTAAGTATGCGGAAACACTTGGCCGAACAAGCAAGAAAGACATTACACTTAGTTTATCAGAGAACATTCAATATGTTTTTACCACTTGACCTCATGTTCAAGCTATTTGATCATACAGTCTTGCCTATTTTGCTTTACTCCGCGGAGGTATGGGGATATGAAAGCTTAACAATGCTCAAAAAAAAATCATTGTGAATTCTTAATTTAAGAAAATCTACACCATTATACATGTTGTATGTAGAAACTGGCGGACACCCTATTGATTAAACGATAAAATGGAGGATGATTAGTTATTGGAACAGTCTCGTCACCGGAAACCAAAATTAACTTTCTTTTAAACTATGTCAGTATATGTAAAATAAACCAAAATTTGAATCTAAATGGACATTCAAGAGCAAAGAAATTCTGAATGAAGTAGGCATATTAATTTTGATTTATGGCTCAGGCAAGAAGACATAAAAAACAAACCATTTAAAATACTTTAAACAAGTCTTATTAAATCAAAACCTGCAAATTTGGCACTCATATCTTAACAATGCTAATAAAGGACGGAAATATTCTATATTTAAAGACTCTATAAAACTTGAAATTACCTTCTTTAACTTGATAAACAGGAAAACTTAAATCTTTTGAAATTTAGAACAGGAAACCATCATTTTCCTGTTGAAACAGGCCGATAGGTTGGTCAGGATATACATGAACGTAAATGTTTAGTCTGTGATTCTAATGACGTAGCAGTCGAACTTTACTATCTGTTACAATGTTCTTTTTTGATGATGAAGGTAAAAAATATATTAATAGGTATTATACAATAGACCTAATATCTTAAAATTCAGGCAGCTACTCACAAGCAATTCAGTTATACAACTTAAGAAAATATGCTAATTTATAACTAGATCTACATTCGAAATTCTATACAGTGAAAATGGTTATATTTTGTCAAACAGTTGTGCATGTATAATTAATTATTTGTGCAAGACACTATCAATATTGTTAGAATGTTATAATGAATATATAGGTATTGAAATACTGATAATACCTGAATTAATCAATAATATTCACATTCTGTCCATTTCTGCAATTCGAAAACCTAGCTAAGCTCCGTTTTCCGGAACTTTCGGGAAATGCACGTAATTGAATGTAATAAAGAAGTCTATATTTTTGGCCTTTTTAATTAAAGTGATGTAAAAAAGTTATTTATTTGTAAGAAAATAATCAAATATCATTGTATGAATAAAGCCATACAAAAAATAAAGTAAATACCCAAGTTTACACAGAAAATATCTCAATTTATAATGGAAGATGCCACTTCAATTGTTTTAATTTTATTAATTTTCATTATAAAACAATTTATTTTTTGAAAAAAAATGGAAAATATTAAATGAATGTTGATGATTTTTCAAACACATCAATTTTTCACCTTAAACAGTAAAATAATGAATGAAAAATAGAAATATTATGTATTTGTGTTATGTACTTTATTTGGTGTAATTCCCCAGAGCTAATGTACCGGAAAACGGTGTTAAGCTAGGTCTTCGAAAAGGTCATTGTTCTTTTTTGTCAGTATTGCCTTACTATTTTATTACAAATGTTACCGCATTTGCTAAACACGTGTAAGTTTACACAGTTGGTCATGTGACCAACATAGCGATACTATTAACAAACATCATCGATCCGCCCACGTCTCTATAACTATAATCTGTTTCAAAATTGACCAATAATGTTAAACATTCTCCAACATACATGTATATGGACATCTACCCCCGAATAATAATAAGATGTTCAAATAATAAAAGTATCGATGGTACCTTTTTTTCCATGTCACTTATTATATTATGTATTGATATACCATGTATTGTACACTCTTGTGTTGCTATATGTAACTATAGTTAATAAAGTGTTGTTCTGATCCTAATAGAGTTTAAAATGACCATCATTGTTTATAAAACAAATGTGATACAGGTAAAATAAATTGTATATGTATTATGTATCATAGTATTTAAAATGTCATTAATATCTATAATGTATACAAACATGTTGACAAACATGAAATGGTTTATCTTTTATAGAAAACAGTTGTTACTCATTTAGTTCTAAAAAGTGAGACTTTACAACTTAATTGATTTTCAGTAAATAATTTTTGTGTAAACCCTTACAAGCCCTTGACAAAAGAAGAGGAGAAGGAAAAAAAGAATATGATGGTTTTATTTATTATCAGCAATGACTGGTTCCACAGATATTTTTTTTATTCTTTTTAACAGGTAGCAGATGTGAAAACAACATTAATGACTGCCCTGGCTCATGCAACTTAGAAAATGGTAGATGTGAAGACAGAATAGATGGGTTTAAATGTATATGTAAAGCTGGATATGTTGGTGAAAATTGTGTGGTAAGTCTCACATTTAAACACATATATTTAAATGATTTTTTATCACTTTTTTTCAAATGGATTTCCAAGATATTTTTATCATAATTTATTATTTTAACTTCGGGCAAGTAAGATTTTGTAATATTTGTTTTAGTAAGTCAATGTGATTCACAAGTGATGATGGTAAAAGTGCTTTGTTGTCAGATACTGTCTGAAAAAATAAAAGTCCAAGTTTCTCCCTTATTGACCTTTTTACAATAGGATTTTCCATAGCAACGAATGTTGCATTATGCGCATGCGCATTCCGCGTAGGGCAAAACGCAATAACGATGTCTACAGTTTATCATACTTTAAGGCTTTAATAAATGCGATTTCATGTTATGCTACCCAAAAGACATTAATTTTGGAATGACTTAAGGCTGTAAGTACTGAAAACGTGAATTTATTTTTTAACAGATCTACGAAAATGTGCGGGGCTAATAATTCAATGGTCTATATATTCTTTATAAAATCCTCTATGCGCCGAAATTTTCCGATGTGTTGAAGTTATTTCATGGTGCATATAGAACAAATCGTAAAATTTACCGTAAAGAAGTCAAAGTCCTTTGACACCTTTGATCTCGAGACATTTTCCACACCTTTTGTGGGCGCAAAGATTCCTTCAACTTGTGTGACAGTTGTAAATAACTCAGCCGTGTGCTTAAACAGCCTTTGTATGCATTTAAATATGTGATAAAATGGTCTAGTTGTTACCATTTAAATTGTCGTAGTTGTATTTGAAATTAAACAGTACAAACTAGTTTTATGTGGGAACCTTAGTGACCCGGTGTTGCCTGATAATCATATGGAATATATTTACTATAAGCAGGTAAAGTTCTCTTCCTTCCCGTTTATTACATCTTTTTATATCGCCTATTAACGTTGATGTCTTGAAATTTTGACATTAAAATAAGACCGATTCATAAGTCAAAGTCCTGATGTGCAAGTCCCTTCAACTTCGACTTACTGGAATTCTACTGTACTAGTAGGGTAATTCCAGTACAGGAATGTAATGTTAGGAAAATTAAACAGTCATTTTTTCCTGTTGTTTGATTTGTTACAGACAAAATGAAGTGTAAGGTAAGGTATATATGTCACATTTGCTATTACTTGACCATAGCATATTTTCTGTTCTAGATTGTTTTGGAATTTATCTTGTTCTTTATTTTCTCTCCGCAAAGACTGATTTCAATGAATGCTCAAGCAACCCATGTCAACATGGTGGGAAATGTACCGATGGTGAAAACAGCTTTGAATGTGAGTGCGAGACCGGGTATACAGGAGACATGTGTGAAACAATGAAAGATAATTGTGCTGGAATTCTAACATGCCAAAATGATGGAGAATGTATAAGTTTACAAGAAACTTCATTTTGCAGGTATGTAATTCAGTTAATCAAATCGACAAGTAGCCTATCAAAATGTATAGACATATTTCAATATAAAGGCTAGAATAGGAAAATAAAATAATGAACTTAAGTTGTAATTTTTAATGTATGAAAGTTCTTATAATTTATGTATGAAAGTTGTAGTTTTTCCTTTACCTATGTATGGAAGTTGTAGTTTTTAGTTTGTGGTATGTATGGAAGTTGTAGTTTTTAGTTTGTGGCATGTATGGAAGTTGCAGTTTTTAGTTCCCTGTATGTATGAAATTTAATTGTAGTTTTAAGTTTCCTGTGTGTATGTTATAATGTTGTTATTTTAGATTCCTGTATGTATAAATGTTGTAGTTCTAAGTTTCTGTTGTGGAAGTTGTAGTTTTTAGTTCTTGTATGTATTCCATTATGTGTAAAAGTTGTAGTTTTTAGTTTCCAGTATGTGTTGTAATTGTAGTTTTTAGTTTTTTGCATATATGAAAGTCGTAGTGTTAAGTTACTTAAATGTATAAAAGTCATAGTTTTTAAATACCTTTATTTTTTTTATGAAATTGACTCTAAGGGTTTAATCAAATAAGCTTCAAGTATTTATCACAATCAAACTAAAATAAATTTGTTTTATTTTTATAATATTGTATATCTTTTTAGTAAAAGATATCTTTTTAGTAAAAGAGTACTTTATCAAGTTGGCACTTCAAAATTCTTCAAAAATGTGCTAAATTTTAAAACATATTTTCATAAGTTTTAATTTTTTTAATGTTGATGTAAAATATTTAAACTGCTTTTAACAATTATTTTCTAATTTGCCTGTAGATGTGAAGGTGGAGCTACAGGAGATAAATGTGAAAGTGCCACCCTCTTGTGTAAAACACTTTCAAACACAGATGCTTGTATAAATGATGGTGTATGTGTTAATGCACAGGGTACAGCAACATGTGTATGCCCTGTAGGTAAGTTATTATTTGCTCTGAAAATCTGAAAAAGATTATAAATCTTAAAATGGCATTCATGAGGTGTGTCCGTACATTTTTCGGACGATTGTTAATTTGAAAAAAATGTTGATAGATTTCAGAAAGAAATTAAGCCGCTTAATTTCCTTTTATTTCTACTATCATGTGCAATTTTATCCAACTCTATGCATTATGTACAAAATTATAAAACGATATAAATATCACTGTCACATCGACGTGCGTGACAACAACATTTTGAAGATAACGACGTTGACGTTCACTCTTTTTCCCAAAATATCGTACTTCTGCTGAAATACTAGTTTTCATCTGCCCATCCCTTAACAGTTTTGGTACCCATCTAGCGCACACTTTGGTCATTGATATATTTTTAGTAATTGTCTTGTCTCTTGTGTATTATTGTTTTACTGATGTCACACTTTCCCCCATTATTTCTTGAACTGACATACGATGTTTGCCATCAAGTGTTGCTTAAATCTCGTCACAAGAGATGCTCCGGCACCCAGAACTCTGATCATTTGCAGTAGATGTGCGGTCCTCTTGGAAATTTTTATACCATTCATACACGACTGTCTTGACAATATATTTTCTCCAAATGATTTATCAAGCATTGTTCTAGATTCTTTCGGTGATGCATTTATACTTTGAAATTACTGAATAATAACTCAAGGTTTTTGGATGATTTCTCAGTCCATGAACAGTAAGAGCACCGTGCCATTTTAACCTTGTTATAACGTCAAATGGATATAAACTTGGGCCGAGTTTTGCAAATAGGTGTTGCTATAGAAACCATATCTCGTAAACTTCAAATAGCATTCAAAATATATTTTGAGGCAAAACTTGCCTTTCATGTAATTACATGAATTTCATATTTATAACTTAACTTGGCGTCCTGGAACATTACAGACAAACCTCGTACAATTAATTCAGGAGAATTCCAGTATTCCTCACTTGAATACTGTTGAATCACCATTAGGATATGAGGCCTGCTTTTTAAATTTGTCTTTTGACGTTATATCTGTGATATGCAGGCTTCATAACTTCAGATCCCCTTTCAAAATTCCATTTTATTTAGTTCCGCCCATTGTTTTCTCGTTTAGGGCACACGCATTTTTTTACTTGGGGACCATATGCCGCTTTTCATGGAATGACACTAACGTGTCACATTGAAGGTTCCATGATAACCGCCATATGAACACATCTGCGGATGTTTCAAAATTCAAAATTTTACCAGTTCATGTTAAATGTTGAATTCTGCTTAAGCCGGTGCTAGGGGGCGTGGACGGTAGTTTGCACTTGACAGTACCGTCCATGAACAGGCTCAATCAAACCGAGCCTGCAACATTTTCAATTTTGCCGCGTTGGGCTTTTTTTAGGGATTCTTATTTCACTATATTTTATGCATAAAATGTCAGATTTTATTGAAATGCAAGTGTGTACAATGGCTTTAGTATCTTCTTGATATTTTTATTTCCTGTATGCATGTACATATATTTCAGGTTTTCACCTACAATTATATGAAATAAACAAGATATTATTTATTGTTAATGCTAGTGTATGACAAGGACAGATGTTATATGGAGGAAGGAATGGAGGAGACAGGTGGTGGACAGGTGGTTAATCCTAAAATTTCAACCAGATCTGTAAATTCTGCTGATGAATGTAAGACTTTGTGTTTAAACAACAATGAATGCACTGCCGTGTCATACTCGGAATCTGGTTCTTTAAAGTTTTGTCAGTTCTATACAGTTGGTGAAGAAAAAATTGGTACAGAACTTGGTTCTACACACTACAGAAGAAACTGTCCAGAAGGTAAGCATAGGATTACATGCAAGTAGTTATATTAAAATGTTTACAGATTTTGTATAGACCATAGTAAATGTTCTTTATAAGGGTTCTTTAAAGCTAAGAAGTTATTGTCTCGACTTTAAATCAGTTACACGTCATAATTGTGGGTTGGTTATCCCCCGCCGATGGAATCGGGAGGGGGATATAGTTTTGGCGTTGTCCGTCCGTCCGTCCGAATTTCGTTTCCGGAGTAGTTCTCTGCAACTACTGGCTGGAATTCAACGAAACTTTATGGGAATCATCAATATCAAGTGGAGATGCGCATATCGTCAGCTTGTTCCGGTCAGACCCTTAAACTTAGAGTTATGGCCCTTGATAAGTTATGTAGAATGCATATAGAGTAAAATTTTGTTTCCGGAGTAGTTCTCTGCAACTACTGGCTGGAATTCAACAAAACTTTAGGGGAATCATCAATATCAAGAGGAGATGTGCATATCGTCTGCTTGTTCCGGTCAGACCCTTTAACTCAGAGTTATGGCCCTTGATTAGTTATGCAGTATGCATATTGAGTAAAAATCGTTTCCCTCGCTACTTCTCTGCAACTACTGGCTGGAATTAAACGAAACTTTATGGGAACCTTCAATACCAAGAGATGCGCATATGGTTGGCTTGTTCCAGTCAGACACTTTAACTCAGAATTATGGCCCTTGATTAGTTATGCAGTTTGCATATATAGGAATTTCGTTTCCGCTCTAGTTCTCTGCAACTACTGGCTGGAATTCAACGAAACTTTATGGGAATCATCAATATCAAGAGGAGACGCGCATATCGTCGCCTTGTTTAGGTCAGACCCTTTAACTCAGAGTTATGGCCCTTGAATAGTTGTGCAGTATGCATATAGAGGAATTTTGTTTCCGCTCTTGTTCTCTGCAACTACTGCCTGGAATTCAACAAAACTTTATGGGAATCATCAATATCTAGAGGAGACGCGCATATAGTCGCCTTGTTCCGGTCAGACCTTTCAGCACAGAGTTATTGCCCTTGATTTATTGTGCTGTGTTCATATAGAGAAATATTGCTATTTCTTTGCAACAGCTGGATTGATTTCAACATGATTTTATGGAAACCATCAATACAGAAAAGAAATTTGCATCTCATTGGCATGTCCTGATAATTATTTAACACAAAGTTATGGCTCTGTTATTGCCCTGAATATTTATCAAGTTCAAAGAATATTACTGTTTATGCCATGATTAATATATAAATAAAGCCTTATGTCTTCAGTTGTTGTGTAAATAATAACCAGTACCCGGCGGGGGATATAAATTCAACGAATTTGCTTGTTGATCATGTTATTTAGGGAAATTTTACTTCTACGAGGGCTGTTCAATATATAATGAGACTGTCCTCATATATTTGTATTCTAACATGAAATATAACAAAATGTGGTATCATTATTAAATATAACTTATTCTTAATCAAATTATATGCATTGGTAGAAATATATAACTATACAAAAAAATAATTATCATTTCAATAACCATAGCAACACGTTATCGCCCCTGTCATTTCTGTCGTAACTTATAATATAATTTAAAGTAAGAAACAATTTTGCAATAATTTGTACATTACATAAGTGATGTTATGTGAAAAAATGTTATTTGGTCGTAAAACGTTGATGTAATCAACATTTGTTCACGGTTTCCTTGACATAACGTCTTGAAGTGCGGGCAAACATTAAGTTTTGCTTGTATCTAGGCAAATCGGCGACGGAAACATTTACAATGTTGCAAGAGGCTTAAGGGAAAGACAGTTTTTGTCGTATGTTAGTGTTTAGGTGGTACAAGATGTTTTCTGAGGGAACACATCCCTGAATGACAAACATAGTAATGACGGTCCAGTAGAAAAAAGTCTGTGAAAGCGTCAATGATCGCGACAATTCAGTCAGGGCTTGATACTGATATGCGTTAAACGGTGCGGGAGCTTGCCGAAATTGCTGACGCGAGAGTATAGGAACTTATTAAAGCATCTCATACTGATGAAAGATTTAAGCATATATTCGGGAGCTTATTTTGAAAAGCTATGAATGTGATAAGACATCATAGCGACGTTAACTGCACGAATGACGTATATCTGACGTCGCAACATAATGTTGTGCGGGGGCAATAGTGCAAACATGACTTTCTTATTAATTCTGTAACTTTAAAACTGTTTTATGGATGACTTTAATATTTTCAGATTATATTTAGAAATGAAATAACTTTGTTATTATGTATTGTATTTAGCCACTGAATGTAACAAATAAAAGATATGAACACAGTCTCATTATATATCGAACAACCCTCGTACATGTGAAATTTCTCAACTAACACCATAGTCCTACCTAACTGGTTTCTTTATGGTGAAATGAGTTACACGGCAACTTCATGGCCCTTTCTACTGCATGAAAACAGCAGAGTGTTTTCCAATCAATCCTTTATATCTTCATTAAAGTTTTTATAGAATTCTTATATGTCTTAGTCCATCTTAAATGAAGGGATTAATATTCTGAAATAAGAACTTTAACTTTTTTTTTAATATTTGTAAGTAACTAACCTTTACGTTGAATTAAAACAAAAATGTGACATCTGCTTAAGTGTAGAAATTTTATTTTGTTAATGTTATTTTCATTTCAGATTACAAAGGTAAATCATGTGAGATTGTGACAGATTGGTGCACTGACAACCCATGTAAGAATGATGGACGATGTAAACAGTTAGATCCAGTAGGGTATGAATGCGAGTGTATGCCAGGTAATTACCTAATTATCTATATTATTTACTTTAGAGCAATTCTTACTGATGGTAGCAGAATAAACATAATAGAAAGGTAGCTAAATTGTATTGAATGTGTACAAAAAAAAACAATAATGATCTGTATTATGCTATTTTAAATTTAATAAGAGATATGCCAAATATATTGTTAATCTCTGATACTAATATATTCTATAACTGTAAGTGACAACAGAGTTTACCAATGCTACCAGTGCAGTCCAAGATTAGTCAGCCTGCCAATCTATGCCATCTGATCATGGTCTGTAATGTTTGTGACTCATTCGGTACATATTTGAAATTTTTACAATAAAAGACAAATATTTTAGTCCACATTGAAAGAGGGAAGAGTATATTTGAAGACATTTAGCTTGAAAAGGGTTTAATAACTATCATAATTCACTGATAGACTCGTGTTCTAAATGAAGAAGTTATCTGAGCAATCAGGCATTTCTTGCATCTTATTAAGTGATGAAGTTACTTTTAGGGATAAAGTATTTCTTAAGTATATTACAAAATGACATGTTTTAATTGTAAACATATCTATATCAACTAGACTATTAAAAGTATGAAAATGTACCATTATTTAAACCTCACTGATATGTAGGTTACAGTGGTGCTACATGTGAGATAGTAGCTGATCCATGTGCCAACACTCCATGTCTTAACAGAGCTGATTGTCAGGCAACATCACTATCAACACATGATTGTCTATGTACAGAAGGGAGGACATGGATAGGAACATCTTGTAAAAGTCAGTACATTTACATGTTTTATAAGACATTTAACTTCAGCTTTACCTGTACACTTATTATCTATACCTGTACCTTAATCTTTACCTGTACCATTATCTATACCTGTACCATTATCCTTACCTGTAACATTATCTTTACCTGTACCATTATCTTGACCTGTACCATTACCTTGACCTGTACAATTATTTTGACCTGTACAATTATCTTTACCTGTACCGTTATCTTAACCTGTATAGATATATTTACTTGTTCATATATCTTTACCTGTACACATATCTTTACCTGTACAAAAACCATTTCCTCTAAAATAAACAGTTGCAACTACCATTATTAAGTATTTCACATTACTCTTTACATTTTTGTGAGAATTACATTTAGATATATTGCCAGTTTTTTATGAAGTTCTGTGCTTTCAACGGTTTCTGAGACTGATGTCTAGGTCAAAATACGAACGAACCGACCTTTTCCTTCTGTCAATCTGAACAGGGCTGGGAATCAAAACTGCGTCGTATCCTACAAAATGTAAACAAACGCCGCCATGTTTTTGTTTATAACTTTTTTTGTTGGAAATGACTGAAAACCAGATAAATCTATTAACACGCTACACTATTTCCGCTTCGTTCGGTATATGTTGCTTGCACAACTATTTTGTAAAACAAAAGTTATAGCGAACTTGCATCTCGAAGCGGGGCAGGATTTTTATGAAAATGTGTGGATACGACGCAGTTCATATATCGTTTTTTCCTTCAAATCAATTATTTATTTGTTTCAGAGTTCACCATAAACTTCGAAATATAAGTTTGCATCATTTACTAAAATTTCATTAAAAAGAGATGTTTATTTTCTTAGAAAATAATGATTTTTACGAAATGATACGACGCAGTTGAAAATAAAATATGATACGACGCAGTTGTATTTTTGGCAGTCTTTTCAACAGGGATAATTTTGGCAATATATTTCTATTTTATGGAATAATCACTTGCGCTAGATAAAAAAACCCAGATCATTTGCGGTGTACAGCAATGTTCTGTTGCTTTTGATTATTTAGAATAAATTGTGTCATGTCCAATATAACATTTAATTTGAAAGTTTACATTGCTACTTTTCAGTTAAACATGAACATGTTACCTAATTGATCATAATATCTGAAATAATTTCTTATATTTTCCGGTATGTTCAATATTATCCCTAATTCTTTTTCGCAAAAAAATATAGAAATCTATTAACTTGAATTCATGTTGGCTAGCTACGCTCTAAGTTAACTGTGGTTCTGCATGTTCTGGGTAATGACTGCTTTTTTGTGGTTTGTTTTCAAACTTTCACTCTTTGTATTAGCTTTACTAGGGGCGAGGACCTCAGGTGCTCCTTTGTGCATTGTTTCAGGCAAAATGTTGCACCTGCAGAGAACCATCGACATTTTGAAACTAGCTTGATAGGTTTTCCACACGAAAGAATAAAAAGTCCCTGGTAGTTTTCGAATTCATAGCAGGTCAATTCAAGTGATTTGAATTCAGTAAACATAAACAGCTCGGCCACGGTCGGACACACCTGTCGGATTTGTTTTTTCAACAAAATTTGTTAACGTCAGCTGTACAAATAAGCAGCTTTTTTATTAACTTCTGGCGTGAAGTTTTAAGATTATAAATATTTGAATTAATTATAAAGAGAATAACATTTAAATTTCTTATTTCGGTATGACTAGTAGAGAAATTTTCAATGTAAACAGGGGGTAATCCTCTGTAAAGTCATTTTCTGAAAACCTTTGTTTAAGTTTTCTCAAATAAAAATCACACTTTAGTATGAAGGTATGTTAAGATGCCATGTCTCTAGTCTATTGAAAATTGGATGCGGTAATCTGACCTAAATTTTCTGTTCAATATTGTGAAAACTTCTTCAATACTGTTGAAAGATCATGTCTGCCTATATCTGTATCAAATTTATCGGCGTAAAATACCTTTGCAAAACGGACACCTTCTTTACAAAATAATCTGTAGTTGTATCATAATTATGTAACTCGATTTTGAAAATTTAAGGTTTTTAATGGAGAAGAATGATACAAATATAGAAAATACATTCCGTAGACCTTTCCTCATCGGCGATAAAGAAATGCAATACGACAAAATTAGAGGTAAAGTTCCGCGGCGCTGAACATAAAATGACTAAACGGAACGCATAACCTACTTGCAAAAATATCTTGTAGCTTAACCATTTATAATATAATTTTAAAAATTCAATGTTCAGTTTCAAATAAAGTTCATCTGTTCTCACCGATTATTATAAGAAAATGAATACAATAAAATCGGCACGTAAAAGACATAAGTAATAACGGAATTGACGAAAATTATTGCTAATTACAAGTAACAAAGGTAGGCATGCAATTTGCGCATAGCTCTCTTCCGATAGCAAGAGACCTTTTCAAAATTTGTAATTCTTTCTCCTTTTTAAAAAAAAAAAAAAAAAAAACAAGGTCATTCCTGATTAATACTAGTACAGGGTCCAGGAGAGGTTACACTGGAATATTGATTTTTGTATCAAAAATAGTAATCACTCCCATTTCGAACTCACGGGAACAATTTTAGAAGCATGCTAAGGCAACACTGGAACACGTTGACATATGGGAGTGCGATCACGTGTTTCAATGTTTATTGCATTTGATACAGCTTTTCGGAATTTGTAGATGCTTATGATGGGTACTTAAATGCGACCGAAAAACGCAGCCTTAATAGAATTGTATTACATTTCCATTTTTATGGAACCAATGAGTGACCTCTGCTTTTGAATTAAGTTGTAAACAAGAAATGTTGTTGGACGTTATTAACATACCTAGCACATAATTTAAACAGTTTAAAACCAATATGCAGCCTGCAATGAAAATACAACTGCGTCGTATCATATTTTATTTTCAACTGCGTCGTATCATTTCGTAAAATCATTATTTTCTTGGAAAATAAACACCTCTTTTTAATGAAAATTTAGTAAATGATGCAAAATCATGTTTTGAAGTTTATGGTGAACTCTGAAAACGAGTATATAATTTATTTGAAGGAGAAACGATAGATAAAGCAATATGAACTGCGTCGTATCCACACAATTTCATAAAAATTCTGCTCCGCTTCGAGTTGCAAGTTCGCTATAACTTTTGTTTTACAAAATAGTTGTCTAAGCAACATATACCGAACGAAGCGGAAAATAGTGTAGCGTGTTAATACATATATCTGGTTTTCAGTCATTTCCAACAAAAAGAGTTATAAACAAAAACATACATTTTTCGTTCCAAGATGGCGGCGTTTGTTTACATTTTGTAGGATACGACGCAGTTTTGATTCCCAGCCCTGCTGAAATCATTTTGGAATTTCTGAGGTTCATGTATTGTCTTGAGTTTATAAATCTTCAATGTTAAGCTTTGCTGATTGAGATCGATTACTTATGTCATTTAACCTTAAAAACGTTGTGAGCAAGTGACTACAGTTCATTTAATGTCAGCAACCATCTTGAAAGTCACTGAGAGTTGATTACGTCATTCTGCACGTGCGCTCATTCACTCGCCCATTATTGAAAAATAATGCCGAGAACCAAGGCAGCCAAAATTACATTATGACCTAGATCTTGCCATTATGGCCCTGAAATACCCTAGATTGTGTTACTATATATAGTAACATAGGTATTAAAGTGATATTATTAAACTGAAGTTATGATTATTAAGTTTTTTTTACCAGTTTAGAGTCAGGTGCGCCTGTACTTCCATAAAGCCTCATAAGGCTCTAAACTGTTCGTAGCACATTTTGGCTTGTCTGTTTAATAGGAGAAGATGAGCTATTATGATGACTTAATAAATTCTACCTGTCACACTCATTTGCAGGTCAAAGGTCACTGTGACCTGTAATAAGTATACAAAAATTAGGTCATTAAATCAAAGTGCATTGACCTAGGAACTTCAGACTTTATACTTCACAAGTGCTGTGTGGCAGCTGTAAAAAGTTGCCCCGTACTTCACTTCAGTGTTGTTATATTTTTTCTGGTCCTTCGGGATCATTGATGCCGGCACTATTAAGTGTTGAGAATTGAGGACCGTTCAAGCCGGTGCTAGGGGGCGTGAGGGATGTTGCACTTATTCATTACCCCTCATGTACAGTCTCAATCAAACCGAGTCTGTAATTCTTATGTAATTTTGTTGTGATTAATGCTTCCGAGGGATCACTTTGTTTCCAGATTTTTATATGTGGGTAAAGCTTTATTAGTTCTACATGTCACATACTATTTCTACATGTAAGGTTCAGATGTCAATTTGTGTCTTGATTAAAATTTACTTCTTTAATTAAGAAAAATATGCAGTCTACTAGCCAGCTGTGAGTCAAGTAGTACAGTGTGCTGCTCCTCAAACAGATTTGTTAATCGATGATGCACTTTGCAGATGAGCCTTGATATCACATGCATGTTGTAGTTTGATATTTAATTCAGTACAGCCATATTTTGTGAACATCTTTTAGATTTCTTTTTCTGCAAGGGACATCTTAAAAGAAAGTTGTATTCAAGCACAATGAGACAGTGTCTGCCTTTCCTAATTAACAATTGTTAAGAGTGCTTTAAAACTGATCCTAAGTTATCAATATAGTACAGATAAATAAAATAATAATATAACACATAAGAAAGTTCTCTTATTGTAAATAATGACAATCTTAAACATTTCCTTGATATTAGATAAACATTGTATGACTGTAGGAGATAAAGTAAGGAAATTAGAGATTCAGCTTTTGTTTATGTACAGACTTTGTATATTCTAGATTCAAAAACAGATTATACCATGTTGGTAAATGCTGCAGATCCACTCAAAAAGCCAGCTTCATTGCAGACATTATTCAACTTGAAGACTGATGAGCTATCTGTAATGATGTGGCTCAGGGTTCATATGGTGAACTCAGAAGTTCTAGGCACTGTGTTTGCTTTACTTGCGTAAGGAATTTACTGCTGGACTTTCCTATCATTTATATCATCGTGATGATATATTTTGATTCTTCAAGGCTGTAGCGGGCTCATATTCAAACTAAGAACATTTATAGGAGGGTCCAGTACTTAACATGCTTCCCAGACAAAAAGTTCAAAATAGTCAGTTCAAGCAATTAACTGGATGAAATTTATTTTTTATTTGGGCACATTTTTAAAAATAAATGTATCATTACGCACCTGAGCTATATGAACTGTTAACACGTCAGCAGAAATTACACAAAACAGAAACATATATATAATTTTTCCTTTACTTTGCCTTTTATTTATTTGCATTTGTTTTGCATAACTCATATACCAATATAAAACATAGATCATTTTGATAAATTAAAAAAGAGAAGAATACACCAATAGGAATACATGTACACATGAGATCCAAATCTACCATGGTGTTCTGTATATTACAAGTTAAGATATGGTAGTCATGTTCATAAAAAATTGGTATCGTAAACACATAAATAAAATCAGTATTTGAATTTTTATTTCAACTAGATGCAATATCTTGGGGTGTCCATGGGTAATTGGTTAAAAATGTTTATTTCAAATCACCTGTCCCTCACCACTGGGGGCTTGTGCCAAATACTTTTGATTCTTTGATGTAAGGAAGCTATCCAGCTACCTTACGGAATGTCAGTGTGGTTCTTCTCGGGTACTTGTTTGTGCCAATGGGCAACTTAATCTTCCTTCACCAGGAAAGCTGGAATTTAACTTCCACTGTGTTAGTGCAATATAAAACCTTCCTCGAAACAAAACAAAAACTATAAACAAGCAATACCTTGAAAACATGAGCATCCACACCTTTCAAATTTCTGGAAAAGGATATAATTTACAGAATGCACATTCTAAAAGATTTTGGACATACTTCTATTGAATGAAATATGTACAAAAATAATACAAAAAATCTAATCATATATAAGTATTTTTGTGTGTATGGTTGCCATAACTAACATATATTTATCGTGAGTAAGCTATGGACTCATCAGACTTTATCAGAGCCCGAGTAATAGCTCATTCTGTTGTATGAATATGAGCTTAACAAAATCATGTGTGTAATATACATGTATATCATGTTGCATAATCTTAAATTTATATCTTTTAGCTATGTTTAAATGACTGTAGGACTATATACATACACTATCATACTTAGATGTCATACACTGTCATAATATGATGTCATACACTACCGAACTATGATGTCATACACTATCGAACTAAGATGTCATACACTTTCATTATACGATGTCATACACTGTCATACTACAATGTCATTCACGGTCATACTATGATGTCATACACTGTCATACTATGATGTTGAACACGGTCATACTATGTTGTCATACACTGTCATACCATGATGTCATTCACTGTCATTCAACGAATTCATGTACTGTATGATGTCATACACTCTAATACTATGTATGATGTCATACACTGTTATTCTATGATGTCATACACTGTCATACTATGATGTTGTACATTGTCATACTATGATGGAATACACTGTCATAGTGTGATGTCATACACTGTCATTCTATGATGTCATACACTGTCATACTACAATGTTGTACACTGTCATACTACAATGTCATGCACTGTCATACTATGATGTCATACACTGTCATTATATGATGTCATACACTGCCATACTATGATGTTATACTAAAATGTCATACACTGTCATACTATGATGTCGTACACTGTCATACTATATATGATGTCATACACTCTCATACTATGACGTCATATACTGTCATTCTATGATGTTGTACATTGTCATACTATGATATCATACACTGTCATACTATGTATGATGTCATACTCTGTAATTCTATGATGTTATACACTGTCATATTACGATGTCATACACTGTCATACTAAAATATCATACATTGGCATTCTACGATGTCATACACTGTCATACTAAAATGTCATACACTGTCATTCTATGATGTCATACACTGGCATACTAAGTTGAAAGTGTTAGATATGAATTGCCATTAAATATAAAGGTAGAGATAAAACATCAGTATCAGTTGTTTTTATAACAGGACCGAGGAAACAACACTACCAGAAAATGTGGTATATGACTTTAGCCTAACAGTCAGTGAGGCTGGAATTTATGTAAGATACGGGTTGGATGAACCAGTTGGTATATCATTTGTAACTGAGGATCTTTTTGGAGATATTTTATTTGATGGAGAATGGCATCATCTTGGAATTTCAATGACTAGTAGCGGAATGTTATCTGCATCATTAAATTCCCTGCATGTCCAGAAACCAGTTGACACCGGCCGGAACCTTCAACTTGATCACAAGTAAGACAGTCCATATTTCATTTATTAAGATTATTTATATCTGTTATTAAGATTATATAAAGCTTTAATTAGTTTTGGATAATGTTCAGTTGTCATTGGGATTTAATTTGGGTTTAATTTTCATTAAATTGGGTAAAAATTTTGATCATATTTAATAGATATTATCCGGAACCTAGCAAATGTGGGTTTTTCAATGTTAATCCCCAATATAAACAAAGTTTTACAGTTATAGCTTCATGGTGCACTATCTACCGGTCACAATAGATTTGTCAACATTTTGCCATTATTTTCCAGGCTATAACTGACATTATCTAGAGTTGCAATTGAGATTATCTAGGGTTGTAATTCAGATTATCAAGGGTCGTAATTGAGATTATCTAGGGTTGTAATTGAAATTATTTAGGGTTGTAATTGAGATTATCTAGAGTTCAAATTGAGATTATCTGGGGGGGGGGGGTAATAAAGATTATCTAAGGTTATAACAGAGATTATCTAGGGCAAAACTGAGATTATTTAAAGTTGTAGTTGAGATTATCTAGGGCTATAACTGATATCATTTAGGATTATAAGTGAGATTATGTAGAGTTGTAAAAAATTGAGATTATCTACAATTATAAATGAGATTATCTAGGGGGTAATTGAGATTATCTTAGGGGGTAATTTAAATTATATTCGATAGTTTAGAAAGAAATTGAAAAAGTCTTTAAGTGTGATTTAATATAGGTAAGTTATTTCGACTACTAAAAATTGTAATTTGAATTCTATAGGTCAATAATTCTCTTTTTAAGAAGTCTCTACGTTGCTAGAAGTTTCAAGACTTTTAAGAATTCTTGAAAATTCGTACTTCAATTTTTTTCAGTGCACAAATATATTTAGGATATGGCCACATTGTTGAGTACAGAGATGTTGAAGTTTACAATAAGTTTTTTGAAACTAGTGTGTTTTCTAAGGCATCTACTGGAGGGGACAGGCCTGATATTCCCCCTGTTCAGAGTTTTCAAAATTACAACCTCTATCCTTCAACATCAATGAGTGAAAATGACTTGGGGATCAATATTATAGGTAAGTCCTATTTTATCACCTTAGTGCAATAACTGATTAACTGCTTTGGATTTAGAAGGACTTATTCAGTTATAACAATAAGGCAACAAAGAAGAACGTAGTTGTGCAAAGCATTGTAGAAAATATACTTTAATTGTTAATTAACTGCAGAATAACATCATGTCTATACTTACATATAACATTTGTATTCAATAAATGAAATTAAACAAAAAGAAGTAAAAATGGTTAAACATTGTTCAGTCAGGCTTGAAATGTTAAACTTGCTCTTTTATGCCTAAATAGGATAAAACAAATTTCTTGTTGGAAGAATGTAAATCTTTTTTTCTTTGTCATCAGAGAATCCAAACTTAAAAGTTCCAACTTTGGATTGTGAGGATGTTGATGATATATATTACCCTACTACTGAGCGTATAGTGTCAATGAGCACAGTATCTGACCTAGTTAACGCCTATGAGCAAGTGAAACAAAATAGCGGATCAACGCTGGAATACATGCACACAATTGAATCAAGTAAGTAAATTGTCCTAAAATTGTTAAAATATTATATATAATATATAATTGTTGTAAAAATAAGCAAATATTGCTCAATCAATATGTATGTATGTTCTCAAACAGTATTAGAGTAAGCTATAAGGGTCCCTCAGTGTATGTTTTCTTTAAATAAGTTCTCCAACAATAACAACACTTTCAGCTTGTATTGTTCGTTCGAGAGTTTATGTCATTAAATAAGAGGGTATTGTCATCTGCATATTTATTAACAGAACCTAAAATAAATAATTTAAGAAAATGTTAAATAGGAGTAGACCAAAAAGAAAATACTTATGGAAATATTTATTTAAAAAAATCAATTTCAATGAGGGCATGGATCCAAACAAAAGGAACAGCAGCCATTTTTACAAAAAAAAAAACTTATACATTTTTTTTATCGTAAGTGAATATTACAATAAATCTCCTTTTCACAAAATAAGAAAAAAATCAAAAAATCTGTGGTAACTTTACCATACTGAATGGTTAATATGTGAACTATATAGAATTCTTGAATACTAATGTTTAGTACAATTTGATGTAGAGGCGAGATATTGCACAGACATTATAATAGCACAATATCTTATCCAACAGTACAATTAGTTGGACTTAAACATCAATATCAATTGAATATTGCAAGGTATGATTTTTTTAGATAAAATTTTAACTTCTGAGTGGCTTTGTGGAAATGACTTACGATTATTGTTAGTCAAAAAAAAAATAAATAAATGGTAAGCTGTTTTTTTTTTTGGTGAAAATGTCTGCAGTAGGAGGTCTATAGCATTTGTTATACAAGAATATAATTATTTTCTGATATCTTTTAGGAGTTTTCTTTAAATTCTTAGAAAACTGTCTAGTTCAGAAATATTTAACTGAAAAATATTCTGCAAGATTTGTTAAAACCATCAAGTTGACCTTAATTGTTTTACTGAAGAAAAGTAAATTGATTGGATGCTGCAGGATATTTGACAAACTAAAATATCAAGATATTTTTTTTTTCAAAACAAAATTGATAAAGCTATTTTGAAACTATTTTATACATAACTTTTTGAAAATATTTATGAATCTTATTCTCTATTGTAGCAATTACATGGGGAGCTTATCCTTTGATAATCATTGGCATGGATAAAGATACAAAAAATTATGGACAATGCTCAGGAAGACTTATCATTCGATGTAAGTAATTTTACTGAGTTAATATTGTAAATTTTTAACTGTTTTGGCTAATAAAGCTACAACATCAGCAAACATAAGCAACTACAGTACATTGAAATTTCGTTTGGCATTCAATCTGTGTACCTTTGATTCTAATCATAACTGCTAATTTACTTAAAAGAAAGAGAACAATTTTGGTGAAGCAAGATATCCTTTGTTATTTAAAGAATTATTGCAATGCACTTTAAGAGATGTAGAATAATGCTTTGTTCAAGCTCGAATGTGCAAAGACCGATTGCCTGTGTAATTAATATAGCATTTGAACATTAAACCAAGCATTATGTTACTATAATGCAAGAAAAAATAATATCTATTTCCGATTTCTAACATGCTCATAAAAAAGAATAAATTCTAATTTGTTGATCTTCATTGAGCATAGAAGTAATTTTCCTGATATCATTTGGTTCATTGAAGTCTGATATAAATCTGTAAGCATTCTATTTTATGCTTTGCATATATTGTGTAATGATGCACTTGATTTGCTTATCTGTTTAATAGGGGAACAGTGTGAAGAGTGTTAGAATATACCTTCAATGATTGGCAAATCAGTGACAAACTGAATTTATATAATAAACTAAGAAAAGTAACATTATGAATAAACAACAATGTGTATTGATATTTATTTCAGACAACAGTGCATGTCCATTAATAAATGAGTTATTTAGTGATACTGTGAGCTATAGACAATGTTCTGCTGATATTGGTGGTTATTGCGATGTTAAATGTATAGATGACTCCAAAGTTCTAGCAGCCCCTGTACCATACTATATTACATGTGGAACACTTGGTGTTTATGATTACAGGATGCCATCTGCTGAAACATATTATCCAGCATGTGTAGGTACGTAACCACGGTGACAAATAATCTTTTTAATGTTGTAATTATTTCTCTTTCCCTGGAACAAATGTCTAAATCTATGCAAATAACAATATAGTTTCTTGCATACTAAGTAAATCAGACCAAAAACATTTTGAAGAAAAAAACAGCATTTGATATGTAAAAGTTACTGCTGTATCTTTTATATTTGATTCACACAAAGTTTTTTCCTTGTTGCAGCTGCAAATCAATTGATAAATACTTTAGCATAGCAATATAGACAGAGTTAGTGTGACAAGTGGACCAGAATGTTGAATTATGACTAATAGAAGCTTTGCCTGACTTCATGACTAAAAAACAAAGAATGTAAATTTTGTTGACTGTTGTAATGAAATATATCAACAATAGATTTAATATTTACTGTTATCAAACATGTATATAGAATGTCAATTTTTCTAAATACCCAACTTTATTTCATAATAATTAACTTTTGTTGTAGACACATCAGCTGTGAAATATAAGCTTGTAGCTTCTATGAAGTATAAATTAGAGACAGAATGTTCTAAAACTCGAGAAAATATTCTTGACATCATTGATGATAGAGTACGAGATAGCTTTAAGGACGATATCAGACCAAAATGGATGGGCATATGTGTTGACGACACTTGCACTAATTTGAAGGACATTACCTATAAGTGTGATACAGATGATGTTTATAACGTTGTTGTGGAGTTTTCTCTAGTGTTAACTAGGTATGTTTATTTTTAGTTTTGTTAAAAAAATGAATAACACTGACATGCCTTATTTATGTTATATATTATGTTTTTATTTGGAAGTCATTATTTTGCAAGAAGGACATTTTTAATTTTATTTATTTTGCCTGTTCAGGAAACATTAATATAGAAAAACAAAATATTCTAGATGAGATAAGATTCATTTATAAAGCAGCATAAGTTGTCTGAACACTTTGTCTTAAATTGCCATTTTTCTTAATGAAAAGCATTTTTGAACTGTTCATTTGTAAACTGTTTATACTCTGGTAAAAAGCGCTTCTGGTGTCATTACTGGTTTCGAAATCGCGGCCGCGAAGGCAAGAATTCATGCATGGATTTTACCAAATATCACAAGGAAGAGAGGACAGGGCTATAAGCGGGATGTAGCAAACCCTCAATTCTTTGCTCCTGTAAAAAGCTTAAACCAAGGCTGACAGGGGCATAATTATGGAGTAATTTTATCCTGCGCAACCCGGACATTGGGTTCTTTGTAATGTAGTGATTAACTACAGCATTGAGAACATGGTCACAGTAAAATGTTCCAGTGACACTACTCCTCTCAGGCACAGCACAACGGGCCACTATTCTATCACCGTCAAAAATATAACATATATAACTATTTTGTGATCACTTTTTTCACCTACCCACATTTTGTTACTGAGTTTATTGTTGGTCTTTAAAAGCCATGTTTCATCCCCTGTGACTATTTCTCTCAGGCATATATAGGTTTTCGATCTTTGAACCTTGTCAATAAGGCTGAGCCTTTTTTAACACATTCCCTTTTCTGGGATTCAACAGGTGCACACTTTCCTTAACATTATTTTTTCTTTCAAGATGGAAAACGTATGACACACTAAGGCCCCCTATGTCACTTATCTCTTCAATGGTTTTCCTTGCACCTTCATCACCTATGGCTTTGATAGTGCTGATGTCTTTTTCAGAAGTAGTGGAAATAAGCTGCCCAGGGCGGGGATCATCCTGAACATTAGTCATATACCCCCACAAACAAAGTTTAGGGGTGGAATATAGGAGTCAGCTTGTTGGTCCATCGGTTGGTCTCCTTCTCGGTTTCCGGACGATAGCTAGAGTTTAGAATGAGTAATTGTATTCAAACTTGATTTATAGCAACCTTTTGTCGAAACCCAGGTTGGTATTGCTTTTGGATCCCCTGGGGTCAAGGTCACCATTACTAAAAATATAAAAATGGTTTAAGGACAATGATTTGAGATAAGAATGAAATTTGTATATTGCAAGCTTAAATAAAGACCCCTGCTGGTATTGCATTTTGAACCCTTTGGGTCAAGGACAAGGTCACCGTTACTAAAAATAGAAAAATGGTTTCCGGACAGAATCTAAAGTTCACTGTTACTAAAAATTGACAATAACTACATTTAGGAATGAGATATTGTAATCAAACTTGCTACATAGGAAGCTTATATGAAGACCTCCGCTTGTATTGCATTTGGACCCCCTGGGGTCAAAGTCAACATTAATAAAAATAGAAAAATGGTTTCCAGAAAATAACAAGAGTTAGGAATGAGATATTGTAATCAAAATTTGTAAATATTCAGTTTATATGAAGACCTTACTTGATTTTCTTTTGGAATTTAAAGGTTACCTTTTGGTTGATAATAACATATAAGGACATGAATGGTGACATATCCGGGGTCCGTACTCTCAGTGCCTGAAAGGGCGGCTGGGACCTCATTAAGCCTGCATACATACATACGATTGCTTTCGGACCCTCTTGGATCAAGGTCACTGTTACGAAAAATAGAAAAATGGTTTCCGGGTAATTACATTAGTTAGGAATGAGATATTGTCATCAAGCCTGGTATATATAAGCATTATTTGAAGACCCCAGATGGATTTGTTTTTTGACCCCTGGGGTCAAGGTCAATGTTACTTAAAATAGAAAAATGGTTTCCGGGCGATAACATTAGTTAAAAATGAGATGTTGTAATCAAAATTATTATCAGTTGTTTGTTCCCGGTATACATTTTTGTCAAACATTTCTATTACATTATGGTTTATTTCAGTATGAACCATGTCTATATCCGTATGATCTTATTTCATTTCAGTATAAATTTATTTAATTTTTACTTTCAAGTAATACATATTTTAGAATAAAAGTATGAGTAGTTTCAGTATTGCCTTATCTTTTTGTCAGTAAAATTATGATTATCTTAGTATTGAGTATGAGTATATTAGTATAAATTAATGTATTTTTCATAAAATAGCCGGGCATTTTGTTCCGTCATTCCGCCATTCCGTCTTCATCAGTTTCCGTTCATTCTCTTGGTAACAGTTGCACGAATTCGACAAATTTGACATATGGATATATCATCAGAAAATGCATGTCAAGTTTGAATTTGGTTACAGTCCAATGACTTTTGAGTTATGCCCCTTGATGAAATTTTCAGTTTCCTTTCTTTTTCTCCCTAACAGTAGTACACTTTTAACTCAAATTTGACGTATGGATAAATCAAAGGAAATTTGCAGGTCAAGTTCGAATTTGGTTATGGTTCAATGATTTTGGCAGAGTTATGCCCCCTTTTCACTTTTCGGTTTCCATTCATTAACTACCCCCCACCCACAGTTGTAAACATTTAACTCAAATTTGACATATCAATAGGTCAATAGAATGCGCAGATCAAGTTCAAATTTGGTCATGATTTGATGATTTTTGGCAGAGTTATGTTCCTTTAACTTAAAAAAAAATAAGAAAATTTTCAGTTTCCGTTCATTATCTCCCGAACACTTGTTCACATTCAATTGAAATTTAATATATGGATATGCCATAGAAATGTGGAGGTCAAGTTTCACACAGTTATGCTCCATTACCTTAAAAATGGTAAAAAAATCAGTTTCCGTTCATTTTCCCTCCAAAAGTTTAACACATTCAACTCAATTTTCTCATATGGATAAGTCAAAGGAATGTGTAGGTCAAGTTTGAGTTTGATTGTAGTTACATGACTTTTGGCAGAGTAATTCCTCTTTAATTTTGAAAAAGGAAATTTACAGTTTCCGTGAAATACCCTAGTCAATTTCAAATTTTGTCGTGTTTTGATCATTTCTGACAGAGTCATCCCTCTTGAACTCTGAAAATATTTTTTAGATTCCGTTCATTATCTCTCCCCGAGGGTTGTACGGTTGATATTTGGGACACTAGTTCAAAAGTCATAACATGGTCCTTACATGTCAGAATGGTTTCCGCGCATTATTTTGAAAACTATTTATCGCAAAGTCTTCATATTTCACATACTGATTGGTCATAACTAGTAGGTGACCCCTATTGATGTTGGGGTCACTAGGCCAATGTCAAGGTCACAAAAATGTCAGAATGGTTTCCACTTATTATCTTTAAAACTATTTATCACAAGATATTTATATTTCTAAAGGTCACAGGACATTATTTGTCAGAATGGTTTCCGTGCATTATATTTTTATATATTTATCACAATGTCTTCATATTTCTTATATTGATTGATCATAACTCTAAGATGGCCCCTATTGATTTGACTGTCACTATGTCAAAGGTCAAGGTCACAGAGGCCTTAAATGTCAGAATGGCTTCCGCTTATTATCTTTCAAATTTTTTATCACAAAGTCTTCATATTTCAAATAGTAATTAGTCATATGTAGTAGATGACCCCTAGTGATTTTGGGGTCACTAGTTTAAAGGACAAGGTCACAGGGCCTTTAATGTCAGAATGGTTTCAGTTTATTATTTTGAAAACTATTCATCACTTAGTCCTCAAATTTCAAAAATTGATTGTTACTAGTAGATGACCCCTATTGTTTTTAGGATCCTAAGGTTCATAGGTCAAGGTCAAAGGGACATTAAATGTCAGAACGTTGTCCACTCATTATCTTCAAAACTACTTTTTATCAAGTCTTTGTGTGTCACATTTCAATTAATCATCAGTAGCAGATAGAAGAATGATTGCCTTGATGTTATTTAATCTTAGGAAAAATTTAGTAATAGAAACTAGGACCGATTTCAAATATACAGAGGACTTGAAATTTTATATATTCTCAGTTGGAAAACTAGCATGTAATTGTTTAAATAGAGAAAATAAGAATCCCTAAAAAAGTCCAACAAAAAGCTCGGTTTGATTGAGCCTGTTCATGTATGGTACTGTCAAGTGCAAATTACCGTCCATGCCTCCTAGCACCGGCTTAAGCAGAATTCAACATTTGACATGAACTGGTACAATTTTGAATTTTTAAACAGATGTGTTAAAATGTTAAGTTAACACTCTTTATTTTATGTATGTTGATCTTTTTCTAATACAACAAATTCCGATCATTATGTACACCCAAAACAAAGAACTCTTGTCATTATTTACACACAAAACAAATACACATCATTTATCAACCGCTTATATCTTTTCACGTATACGTTTTTTATACGAAACAATACTAGACACCTGTCGAGCCCAAGCTCTAAACAACTGATGATCAACAAAACAATATAATCGCCACAAAATGAAGAACAAGAAATGAATTATTTTACAACTCGAAGATACAGTATAAACAAGCAAATTCGTTGAATTTATATCCCCCGCCGAGTACTGGTTATTATTAACACAACAACCGAAGACATAAGGCTTTGTTATATATTAATCATGGCATAAACAGTAATATTCTTTGAACTTGATAAATATTCAGGGAAATAACAGAGTCATAACTTTGTGTTAAATAGTAATATCTTGAAAAGCCAATGAGATGTATGCATACTACATAACTAATCAAGAGCCAAAATCTGAGTTATAAGTATCTGACCGGAACAAGGCGACTATATGCACATCTCCTCTTAGTATCCCATAAAGTTTCATTGAATACCAGCCAGTAGTTACAGAGAAGTAGCATGGAAACAATTATTGCTCTGGTTGTATACTGCCTATGTTATCAAGGGTCATAATTCTAAGTTAAAATGTCTGACCCGAACAAGGCGACAATATGCGCATGTCCTC